CCACCACAGAACAGGCTCAGTTTTAGTAACTGACGCTCAAACAACACCTCTTTAGAGAATAAATAATCTGAGAGCTCAATGCCGAGTGACTGGTGTTTGTGCAACAGCCGGAATCAAACGTTTTGTAGTGTGTGTGTGTGTATTAGCCTATTAGCAGTTAGCCACTCTTTGTGTAGTTTTCTTCAGTATTTCCTGGTTCTGATTTAGCAGCACGGCAGATGGAAAACCATTTGGCTCTACAGTAGAAAAGAGGCTGAAGTGTATCACTTCATCAAATCAACTCACACACTGAACTGGAACTGAAAAGAGGAAACACACACACACACACACTCACACACACACTCACACACACACACACACACTCACACACACACTCACACTCTCGTGTCTTGCATCACACTGAGGTGATTCACACAGTGCATGGTCTCTCACCCAGTTTAGCGCAGCCTGTCCAGTGAGTATTAAAGGAAGACATGCACCCTGAACTCAGGCCCAGTCTAAAGGCCCCTACACATCAAGCACGATTTAATCAGAGGACAATAAATTCAATCGATTCAAGCGTATAACTGACGATATCTTGCAAACCAACCCTGATAGCAAGAGGATAGTGGACCGCTGTCGGCCCGCTGATGGCAGAGCTGGCGGTCCACTGACGTTTTGCTCAGCATTTTTTGGACAGCCCATCGGCGGTTAAGCAGAGTAATAGGCAGAACTCATCATTTTCCACCAATTTACTGATTTTTCCTTCCTTAGTTACACTTTGTAAATTAGTTTAGTAGATAATGTTAATCCAGCTCAGTGTCAGCAACAACAGCTTCTATAAAATCATTTTATTTTAGGTCTAGTCATGATTTTTTTTCTCTCAATTGTTTGTAATACTTGTCTATGCATTAATTTTCTAAAATAAAAGTCTCTGCGCATTTAAAATCTGTTTGAGGAGATTAAAAACTAGGTACAGCTTGTATGGAGGACAGTAATCTGGGTGGTCCGAGGGTGGACCAATAGTGGTGAACAATCAGTGGGGTGCTGACCTCATCAAGCCAGCAGACCGATATATGCTCACTATCTGGGAAACACGATTTCGAAGTATTCATATGGGGAGACTGAGTGGGAAAGTCATTTTTAACGGTACTATTAATTAAGGCTGGCCAATATGACAATATATATCATTATTGTGATAAATTATGTCACAATACAACACAATATACTTTTCTGAACATATAGTGAACACAGAAGAACGAGGAAAACGATAACCATCGGTCCTCTTACATCATGCTGTGATGTAACATGATTGCGCTAGCTAGCATCGCGCTGAGTAATCCCACCCATCCAGAGAGCTCAGACTCAAAGGAATCAAAGGATGAAAATTATCACAGAAGAAAAGACCGAGATGAACTTGTTGCACTTCTAGAACAAGATGAGTGAGACATTAATCAGGTAACGGCTACTTAAACGTTAATTTTCAAAGGCTTGACATACAACAAAGAAAACACAAATATACAATAAAGAACCTTGAATTGATAGAAAAAACGTACAAACTACATGGCCAAAAGTATGTGGACACCTGACCATCACACCAATATGAGCTTGTTGGACGTCCCATTCCAATCCATAGGCATTAATATGGAGTTGCCCTCCTTTGCAGCCGTAACTGCCTCCATTGTGTCCATTCAGTCTAAAGACCATTTGTCAGACACTGATGTTGGACGAGACGGCCTGGATCACAATCAGCGTTCCAGTTCCAAAAGGTGTTCAGTGGGGTTGAGGTCAGGGCTCTGTGAGGGCCACTGGAGTTCCTCCACACCAAACTGGTAACTCCATGTCTTATGGAGCTGCTTTGTGCACAGGGGCTCAGTCATGCTGGAACAGGAAAGGCTCTTCCCCAAACTGCTGACACAAAGCTGGAAGCAGATAACTGTGTAAAATGTCTTTGTAGCATCAACATCACCCTTCACTGGAACTGAGAGCCCAAACCCTGAAAAACAGCCCCGCCCATCATCCCTCCTCCACCAAACTCTACTGTTGGCTCTGCATTCCGGTAGGTAACGTTCTCCTGACATCCACCAAACCCAGATTCATCATCAGACTGACAGATAGAGAAGCTGATTCATCACTCCAGAGAACACGGTTCCACTGATCCAGAGTCCAGTGGCGGCGCTTTACACCACTCCAGCCGACGCTTGGCATTGAGCATAGTGATCTTAGGCTTGTGTGCAGCTGCTCAGCCATGGAAACCCATTTCATGAACCTCCTGACACAGAGGCAGTTTGGAACTCTGTAGTCAGTGATTTAACAGAGCAGGTGATTTTTGTGCTCTATGTGCTTCAGTACTTGACAGCCCCGCTGTCTTCAGTGCGACCCATTCTACTGCCAGTGTTTGTCTATGGAGGCTGCAAGACTATGTGCTTGATTTTATACACCTGTTAGCAGTGGGTGTGGCTGAAACACCTGAACGTAATACAGATGTCAAAATGGACATTTGCATGATTAAGGAAAAGGCAGCTCAAACAATATGACAAAGAAATTAAAAATATATGTGAATTTTCTTTTAGAGGAAAAAAAAACACTACAAAGTACATACAAACACACACACACACACACACACACACACACACACACACAAACACACACACACAAACACACACACGCACACACAAACACACACACGCACACACAAACACACACACGCACACACAAACACACACACGCACACACAAACACACACACGCGCACACACACACACACACACACACACAAACACACACACACACACACACACACACACACACACACACACACACAAACACACACACACACACACAAACACACACACGCACACACAAACACACACACGCGCACACACACAAACACACACACACACAGAGGTTACTGCAGAGCAGACAGTGCAATCTTTATTCAAATCAACCATGAAGGTGAAACACCACTGCAGTCATGTGACTGAGATACTATCAGAGCCCAGAGTTTAAAACCAAACAAACCTGTAGGAATATTCAGAGCACTACACACACAGGCTCACTCGCGCTTAACTGACTCGCGACTCCACACAGGCTCTCACTTCACTGACTCACGACTCCACACAGGCTCTCGCTTAACTGACTCGCTACTCCACTTGGGCTCTCGCTTCACTAACTCACGACTCCACACAGGCTTGCACTTAACTGACTTGTGACTCCACTCGGGCTCTCACTTCACTGACTCGCGCCTCCACACAGGCTCTCATTTAACTGACTCGCTCCACTCTGGCTCATGCTTAACTGACTTGCGACTCCACTCGGGCTCTCACTTCACTGACTCGCGACTCCACACAGGCTCTCATTTAACTGACTCGCTCCACTCTGGCTCATGCTTAACTGACTTGAGGCTCCACTCAGGCTTGTGCTTACCTGACTTGCGACTCCACTCAGGCTTCTGCTTAAGTGGCTCGCAAATCCACTCAGAATCATGCTTAACTGACTCATGATTTGAACTGGGCTCGTGCTTAACTGACTCGTGACTCCATTCGGGCTCTCGCTTAACTGACTCGCAACTCCCATCGGGCTTGTGCTTAACTGACTCACAACTCCAATCAGGCTTGTGCTTAACTGACACATGACTCCACTCAGGCTCATGCTTAACTGACTCGCGACTCCACTCGGGCTCATGCTTAACTGACTTGAGGCTCCACTCAGGCTTGTGCTTAACTGACTTGAGGCTCCACGCAGGCTTGTACTTACCTGACTCGCGACTCCACTCGGGCTCATGCTTAACTGACTTGAGGCTCCACTCAGGCTTGTGCTTAACTAACTCATGACTCCACATGGGCTTGTGCTTAACTGACTCGTGACTCCATTCGGACTCCTGCTTAACTGACTCGCAACTCCCATCGGGCTTGTGCTTAACTGACTCACGACTCCACTCAGGTTCATGCTTAAGTGGCTTGCAAATCCACTCAGAATCGTGCTTAACTGACTCATGACTTGAACTGGGCTTGTGCTTAACTGACTCAAGACTCCATTCGGACTCCTGCTTAACTGACTCGCAACTCCCATCGGGCTTGTGCTTAACTGACTCACAACTCCAATCAGGCTTGTGCTTATTTGATACATGACTCCACTCAGGCTCATGCTTAAGTGACTCGCAAATCCACTCAGGCTCGTGCTTAACTGACGTGCATCTCCAGTCGGGCTTGTGCTTCACTGACTCACGACTCCACTTGGGCTCGTGCTTAACTGACACGCAACCCCACTCGGGATTGTGCTTAACTGACTCATGACTTGAACTGGGCTCGTGCTTAACTGACTCGCGACTCCAATTGGGCTCGTGCTTAACGGACTCGCGACTCCAATCGGAACATCTCTGGTCTGTATTACTGTGACAGGAACAGATACATGGTGCCTCTAAGCTGGAATATGAGTATGAAGCATCATGAAACAAGTCACTAATAGGGTTCCAGAGTGGTGCCGCTGTCTAAGCTTTCACCTATTGTTAAATCCAGAGTTCATGGCCCAGTGACATCACAGACAAACAGATAAAACAGAAAAGCTTTTTGATCCACTCGTATCAAGCAGCATCATAAACAGCTCGCTTACAGAATCGACTCAGGGCCCAGCCGATATGTAAACTGCACCACTTACACAAATACTGATTTTAAGGAGCTAAAAACTGGAAATACTGGTTAATTCAATTTTATATGGTCAAAAATAAAAAAATGGTTTTAGTTAAACAGTTCTAGATAGTTAAAAAAGTTATGAACTTATCAATTTTCCAATATAACTGTCAGATCTTAATTGTCAAATGTTTAAAACCTAAATACACAACAGAATTTCCTAAAAAACCTCAGTACAATATTTGAATACACAACTTAGGCTCTAAATAAATCTGCTGAATCTTAATACTGGCAGATTTGGCCAGCAATATCCAACCCTACCCTAACAAACGAGTGACTGCCTATTAACCTTCAGTATCACAAATAGGCATGCGGGCTGTAGAGGTTCTCTCACCCCGTAGTACAGGTTCTTGGCCAGTGTGTGGATCAGAAGCATCTTCCCCACGGCTGCGGAGCCGTACAGGCAGACGGAGGTGTAGAAGTGACTGTACCAGAACATGGAGCGTCCAATCAGAGTGACCAACAGCGCCACGATCAGGACGGAGAGGAGAGTAACGAACCAGCTGAGCAGAGCCACGCAGGACGCGTACACCAGCTCCCGCACATACCGACCACCTGACACAGAGCAAAACATACACGGGTCATTCTACCACAGAAAAATCACAACATTGTTTACTTAGTTGCTGAAAATTGTGTTTTGTTGGTGACAATTCTTAATGTTCCAATGGGATCTAACTGCTGACCATATGGCCATGAGGGACAGGGATGCAATTTCACTTCCTGCTCTGAAATGCAGGGGCGTGGCTAAAATGAGGCTCCGCCTACAGACTAAAACTATTCGGGTTCGCTGCTGTCCAAAGAAAACCTTTTATCTCCATTTTTGTCATTTTTCAGTTTTTGACATGTTCTGAAAGTGCCTGTTGGTTTTTACTTTGTGTGTCAATTTCATGATGAATGGACCAAAAGAAACGGCCCAAATTGACTTGGAAAAAACTCTGGTTCCATTGACTTACATTAAAAGTAGAGTAGGTTTTTTACTTCTCCTGTAAAGTTACCATTTTGGAGATACGAGGTTTTCTTCCGACCGCAGCGATATATATATACACACACACACACACACACACAGACTAGTACATATATATGTATAAACACTGAGTGACAGCTAAAACTGAATATGCTCTGTGGTGTTTTAAGTTTTAATCTTTGTTATCAGGCTAAATAAGCGACCCAGCACGTTACAGACTCGGCTCCAGCGAACAGAGGCTCAAATAACACGTGTTTAGAGGATAAAGACTCATATCTGAGAGCACAAAGTCGAGTAACAGATAAACTGAGCGTGTTCTGAGGCGTGAGCTGTTGCTGAGCTGCTGTCGTGTAGTTTTTCTTCAGCTCTACAGTGGAACAGCGGCCGGTCCCGGGGATACGGGTCACGTTCGGGCTGCAATTTTATACTCAGGCTTCTAGCGCGCATCCCAGTCCGAATACCTACCTGCGTTGCTGGGTAGGCTGCACTTCTTGGCCAGGTAGAGGAAGGTTGCCATGGTAACCATGTAGTTGAGGATGGTGCCCACTCTGGCCGGATAGGCCACGACCACCACGCCAAGCAGGTCGAAAAACACCATGTTGCCGTGGCGATATTCAGAGGAGTCAGCCAGCTTCTCAGACATGACCAGGTGCTTGAGGACGGCCAGGATGTTGTCACCTGAAAATAAAAAAAAAACCATCAATTTTTGATTCTGAAATCAAGATTTTACTTGATTCTCTAACAGATCGATTCAGTTCAGGCAAATAAAAACTCCAATAGAACTTTTAGAACACATCCTAAGACTGGAGAGTCTCTTCTACTCCTGATCTTAAAGTAAACACTATTTAGAACCAATTAGTAAATGACATAATGTAAATCTGTGGTTACCAGCTTCAGTTCATTTCTAGCAATGTTAGCATTTTGGCTCAGTTACCCCTTTAACTATAAAGAGGTCAATAAACAGGACTGACTGTACTGATTTTTCAGAATTTCAGCATAATTAATTGGTTGAGATGTAATTAAGAGTGTTTCGCTGCAAAATACAGAGAAACTTACTAACTTCAGTTAGAATTCAGTGTTGGGCCGTATTACAGAAACTTCCTCTCTTTTTATCCTCAGTTAATATCTGACAGGTCAAGATAAGATTTTTCACAAATCCATATTACAGAAGCAAATCTGACCTTAATTTAGGAATCTTATCTTAAGTTACAGAATCTTATCTCCAGTTAGGAAATCATAACCTACTCAATTGAAGTCAACAATCAACTGCCATGTCTGTTGCCTAGCAATCAACCATACACACACAGCTGAAACGTAAACACATCATCAAAATAAAATTAAAAATGTAAATTTCAGCTGCGAATAAACAGAGCGCCCCTGCTGTTTATCAGAGTGTCACCACTCCCCAGTTTCAGTCTCCATTTCCCAAACGCTTTAGCCGAGCGCGCTAACGTTACTCCTCCTAATAAACAGACACACGTTCAGCTCCGTCTCCTCATTATTCACCACCATCACTGTAATATTTCATCATCAACATTAACACACGAAGGTGATCAGAGGGGCGGTGGAGATCGAGTCTGCAGCGTCTGAGATCTTTAAAACGCAGAGTTAGAAAAGAAAATCATCTCACAGTGAAAGCAGCGTTTTACAGTAGGAATAAATGGAGCTCATTATGCTGGTAGTGAACTATGCTGCTGACTCAGCTGCCTAAAAACCATAGAAACGGACCTTAAACAGAAGTGAGGACCCTGTTGGGGTTCATCCTAAAGTTAGGACAGGATTTAGGAGGTTTAGTCTAGTTAGGATGTTTGTGTGATGCTGTTTTCTTATCTGGAGTTCATGATGAGAAGTTGTTAACGCCAGATAAGTCGTCATGAAGTCGTCATGGAGACTAAACAGATCAGATTTCAGAGTTAAGAGTTTCTGTAATAAGTCTGAAGAGTTTAATGCCTTTAAAAGCTTCTTCACAAAAGCTCTTAAACATTTCACTTAAGATGAAAATGTTCTGTGCGAGTGGCCACAGGTCTGTATGACCTTCAGCTGCAGTGCTGCATCAAGGCCTGAGGTTAAACACCCACTGCTTAACGGACCACAGCTTATATTTACATACTGTCCAACTGAGACAAGAGACACCACACACACACACACACACACACACACACACGCACACACACACACGCACACACACACACGCACACACACACACACACACACACACACTTTTACACACAGTATGTATGCTAGGCCTAAGCCCCAGCAAGTCACCTTGTCAACAGATGTATACATACACACAAACCTGCTGCCCTCACAGTTACTCGGTCAACACACAAACAAACACACACAGATGCAGAACTGCTCGGTCAGCACCAACAGAAACCACAATGAAACATCATGTAAATTCAACTTACAATAGCCCCCTTTTACCCTGTTCTTCAGTGGTCAGGACCCACATGGACCCTCACAGAGCAGGTACTATTTGGGTGGTGGGTCATTCTCAGCACTGCAGTAACACTGACGCGGTGGTGGTGTGTTAGTGTGTGTTGTGCTGGTCTGAGTGGATCAGACACAGCAGTGCTGCTGGAGTTTATAGTAATTATTAAAGGACTCTCTAACCTCTATTGCAGCCCATCTCTATACACCTCTATATAGCAGCTATACTGCTCTCCTCCTTAAACCACCTGCCCCCTGCTCTTCACAGACAGCAAAGTCATAGCAAGGTCACCGCAGAGCCGCAGTAACAGTAAATAATGATCACAGAAGTAAAGAGTAAATGGTGATAACAGTAGTAAACAGTAAAATGTGATTACAGTTGGGAATACAGTAATTACAGCAATGAGTAATGAACAGTTATTACTGCTGTGAACAATGATGACAGTAGTCAATAATGAACAATATTTATGGCAAGAACTGGTTAATTTTAATTACAGTAATGAATAGTAAATAGTGATTATGCAAGTAAATAGTGATTACAACAATGAAGAGTGGTTACAGCAGTAGATAATAAATACTGAGTACTGCAGAGAATAGTAAATAGTAATTACCGTAGTGAACACTGATTAATGAACAATGATTATAGTAGTGAATAGCAATTACATCAGTAAGAAGTTGTGACTACAATAGTAAATAGTAATGTGTAAAGTGTGACAACAGTAGTAAATAGTGAACACTATAGTCAGCGGTAAATAGAGCCTACAGTAGTGACTAACAGCAGTGTATAGTAAATAGAAACTATTCTTGTGAACGGTGATTACATTAGTAAATAGTGATTACATTAGTAAAGAAAGATTGTAGTAGTAAATAATGAATAGTGATTACAGTAGTGGATAGTGATTAATTATAGTTGTGAATAATTAATAGTAATTACAGTAGTGAAAAGTGAATAGTTGTAGTGAATAGTGATAACAGTAGTGAACAGTGATTGATTACATATGTAAATAATAAATAGTGATTACAGCAGTGGACAGTGTACTGCCTTTCCTGTATTTAACAGTGATTACAATATTGGAAAGTGTATAGTCATTCATGTAGTGAACAGTGATTACAGTAGTAAATTATGAATAGCGATTACAGTAGTGAACACTGATTAATTTTAGTTGTGAATTACAAATAGTGATTACAGTAGTGAAAAAGTGAATAGGCATTTCTGTAGTTAATAGTGATAACAGTAGTGAACAGTGATTGATTACATATGTGAATAATAAATAGTGATTACAGTAGTGGACAGTGGACAGTCTTTCCAATAGTGAACAGTGATTACAATATTGGAAAGTGTATAGTCATTCCTGTAGTGAATAGTGATTACAGTAGTAAATAATTAATAGTGATTACAGTAGTGGATAGTGATTCCCACAGTGAATAGTGATTACAGTAGTGAACAGTGATTAATTATAGTTGTGAATAATGAACAGTAATTACAGTAGTTAAAAATGAAGTCATTTCTGTAGTGAATAGTAAGTACAGCAGTGAACAGTGATTACAGTAGTGAATTATGAATAGCAATTACAGTAGTGAAAAATGAATAGTCATTCCTATAGTGAACATGATTACAGTAGTGAATTACGAATAGTGATTACAGTAGTGTAAAGTGAATAATCATTCCTGCAGTGAACAATGATTACAGCACTTAATTAAGAATAGCTATTACAGTAGTGGAAAGTGAATAGTCATTCCTGTAGTGAACGTGATTACAGTAGTGAATTATGAACAGCGATTACAGTAGTGGAAAGTGTATAGTCATTCCTGTAATGAATAGTGATTACAGTAGTAAACAGTGATTAATAAATCACAGTTGTGAATAATGAATAGTGATTGCAGCTGTAAATAGTGAACACAGCAGGACCATGGCACTGTGTAGCCTGTGCCTTAAGTCAGCACTGTAATTACACAATAATCCATTATCAACCAGTCAAGAGTAAAATCCTATTAAGGACAGAAGGTGCATTGTAGTGGATGAAACAGCACACTGTTGTGTGTGTGTGTGTGTGTGTGTGTGTGTGTGTGTGTGTGTGTGTGTCAGTGTGTACCTGCTCTCTGGATGGAGTCTGTGTGGATGCGATCTGGAGTGTCGTACTTGGTGTGGTAGATGAAACCGTTTTCTATAAAGGCCAGATCAATCCCTGTGGAGCGAAAAGAAAGGAAACATCGTTTATCAGTTTTTTCATCTGGATCTAAAGATTTTCACCTCCATCATTTGTCTCTCTCAGTCTCAGTCATTCAGTTTCTTGACTTTACTGATTCAGCACCAACCAACCATAACATTAAGTCCACCTCCTTGTTTCTACGCTCATTGTCCATTTTATCAGCTCCACTTACTATATAGGTGCACTTTGTAGTTCTACAGTTACAGACTGTAGTCCATCTGTTTCTCTGATACTTTGTTAGCCCCCTTTTACCCTGTTCTTCAGTGGTCAGGACCCCCATGGACCCTCACAGAGCAGGTACTATTTGGTACTAACAGGTGTGTGAGTGTGTGTTGCGCTGGTGCGAGTGGATCAGACACAGCAGTGCTGCTGGAGTTTTTAAACACTGTGTCCACTCACTGTCCACTCCTACCTTGTCAGTCCACCTTGTAGATGTAAAGTCAGAGACGATAGCTCATCTGCTGCTGCACAGTTTGTGTTGGTCATCTTCTAGTCCTTCATCAGTGGTCACAGGATGCTGTCCACAGGATGCTGTTGGCTGGATATGTTTGGTTCTCAGTCCAGCAGTGACACTTTAAACTGCTGTGTCTGATCCACTGATCCACTCAGACCAGCGCAACACACACTAACACACCACCACCACGTCAGTGTTACTGCAGTGCTGAGAATGATCCACCACCCTAATAGTACCTGCTCTGTGAGGGTCCATGGGGGTCCTGACCACTGAAGAACAGGTATGCAGAGAAACAGATGGACTACAGTCTGTAACTGTAGAACTACAGAGTGAATCTATACGGTCAGTGGAGCTGATAAAGTGGACAGTGAGTGTAGAAACAAGAGTTATGGGTGATCAGTGTATATTGTGACATTAGGCTGAATGGAATTTTTACCAGTGTGCTGTAAAGCTTGTCCAACCTCAAAGCAGTAGCTATGAAAGAACACATTTGTGGACGGAGCATAAGAAGAATCAAAACACAAAACCAGGAAACTCAGGAAAAGAGTGATCTTAGTTTCAGAACCATATGGAGCCGTGAGATTTGGCTCAAACAAGAATAAAAACAAGGAACCAGTGGAGTGCACAGTAAATCAGAGTGATCGGGCGAAAAGCCTCAGTGTGTTTAAGTACCTGGAATGTTGCCAAAGTCTCTGTAGATGCGGAAGTCCGTGTCTGAAGGAATAATCCCACTCTGGAAGACTTCCTGCCCCACCACAGAGGCAAACGGGTGTTTAGCAGCGTGAACGTATGCCTGCACCAGCCACGGGTTCTCCGGACCTGAATACAGAACAAAACATCACTCAGCACTGACAGTGGGTACATACTCACTTTCTACCGTTTCTACTGGAGTTTTCTCTCCAGTTTAGTCGTGTCCAGTTCTACCTGCTAGCTCGCCCGCCCTCTATCACACAATGCTACTAAACAAGGGGAAGGCTAGCATGTGCTTCCTCACATGCTGAGGCATATAAAGCACCACAACATCTTTTCGGAATGCTGCTAACACAACGTCATTGGACAGCTTGGAGAAGAACACTGCCAATTCTGTTACATCAGCTAACAGACACCCAGTTGGCTAGCATCCCACTGAGAGGGAGGTCCATCCTAACCACCCTGAGAGGTTCCCGCAATCGTGATGGCTGGGCAGAAACAGACATGCAGGTATACATGCTAATAGTGTTAGCAAGAGTTACCACAACACTAATGCCAATTTCCACTGGTGCCCTTATGGGATTCTAAGTGTAATATTAGTGCTAAGCTAGCGGTGGTGTATGTTCACAGGCTTGTATTTGAAGAGGTAGGTACGGCCAAAAATTTATATCATGATATCATGAAGATTTAAGGTGCATTTATGCATTTCGTTTTTAAATAAAACCAATTTGGATGCTTAAGTAAATCTATTTTTAACATGAAAACATAAGTTACAACTTTTTATTTGGTGAAATAGCAAAAATGAAATGAACAATATAAAGACGTCAATATTGCTCTCGGACTCTAAAGAGATAAAGGAGAGTGCATGTAAGCATGTAGTAGTTTCTCTGAGCCCTGCAAAAAAGAGTGCTAAATAGCATCATTTGTCTCATACATGCATGTCTTACACTTGAGCTTTCATCTGGAATTTGGTCAATTTTAGCCATTCATGCTATCAGAATTAGCTGAGAAGCTGCGGAGCCTCGGGGTCTGCGAGGACAAGGCCCGAGACTGAAACAGCTGGCTGAGCGAGGGGTGCTGTAGACAGGGCATGCAGAAAGCAGGCCACTGAATTCTAGGCTAAAGGCTAATGGTTGACCCCAAGAGACAGGCTTTTCCTTTCACTCTCTTTTCCCACTTTATTAACTCATTATAATCTTCTATCTGCCTCTTTGACAACAAGCTGGACTAATTTTCCTGAGACTGTAACTGACCATACGGAAGGTGAGGAACACGGATTTAGGTCCACCGCACACCGGACACAGCGCGGTGCATTGCACAGCGTCCAAAAACGTACACCGGCAGCAACATTCGGTGCTGACGTGTGCCAGCTGACTGGTTAATTTGTCATTTCGTCACAGTGTGTCACTCAGCATTTTGCCTTTACTGCGCTGATTTAAAACCATATCGACACCACAGCATCCTTTGCAGTGCTCAGCTAAGTGACTAAGATTCAGTGACCCTTATTAGTCCCACAACGGGGAAATTTCACCTCCACATTTAACCCATCTGTGCAGTGAAACACCACATACACACTAGTGAACACACACACTAGGGGGCAGTGAGCACACTTGCCTGGAGCGGTGGACAGCCCTATCCACGGCGCCCAGGGAGCAGTTGGGGGTTAGGTGTCTTGCTCAAGGGCACTTCAGTCACGTACTGTCAGCTCAGGGGATCAAACCAGTGAACCGCCACCAAAGTGTTTGCAACACGTTGGCCAAGCATGATCATTTGCATCTGTGTACTTGCATTAATGGCCAAATACTAATTGGTCTAATATCTTAAGAAGAATTGCAACCTGGTACCTTCCTGACTCTCGTTCAATAGAAGATTGGATAGATTTAGTAAATTAAATATATATTTAGGAAAAAATTACGTTTAAGTCCTGGTCAAAACGGATTGCTTTTGTGAAACCCTTACAAGCACATTTTAAGGAAGTACCTAATGTTTAATCCCCACTGTTTGTTTTGTGGTGCTGTGTTGCTGTAACTGTAATATTCAGCAAACCTCATTGGTTTTATAAGCTGTTTATAAGCTCCCCTTTACACTGTATACACTTCTATCTAATCACTCCCTGTCAAAATGTATATAGTTGCTGTAATTTTAAAACTGCATAAAGTGAAATGAAAAAAAGATAATGCTAAGAGTTATTAATCCTATAATCATTGCATCTATTATTATTGTTTATATCTGTAAGTGTAGACTCTTTCAGACTGTCCCATTAAACAATGGATTAAAAAAAAGAAAAATTTTAACCAGTTTACTGGATGAACTGGTACATCGCCCACTACTACTTTGTACGCAGCAGTTTTATACTGACTCCTTCAGAAAAAGATCTAGAAAAATGGCAGCTGTTTTTTTTATAACTGATAGCCATCAAATTTACCAACTTTCACTCAACAGACACACACACGCTCAGCCAGTAATGTTACCTGTCTGGAACACCACCTCTTTTCCTCCAACGCCTGCAGCCTCCAGATTCACAAATGCCCGCACCTGCTTCGCCCATGGGTGCCGGGTGATGAAGCCATGACTCGCCTGAGTGAGAGAGACAGAGAGAGAGAGATAGAGAGAACAATGAAAAAAGAACTTGGGCAGAAAAACTTGTTTTTTTCTGATTTTAACATGTAGTTTCTATGCCATATTTTTCAGCATATTTCAGCATTTAACCTGTTAAGCAGCAGGATTAATACTCAGTTAATCTTAAAGCCACTAGGGGGCCTACAGAAGTAGGTTAATCTTGCTCATGTTAGAGTCATAGAAATGTACAGAGAAGGTTAACCACCAAGTAAAAGCTAACCTCACAAGCATAACTGAGTTCATCTGTCTGCTTGTTGTCCATCCATTCGTACAACGGACACGCCAGCATCCTTGGAGGCACATCCAGCAGTAAATGAGAAAGAACCGTATCTTCGTTCAAACACATCCATACAAAAGCTGGATAATGTACCAGTGAGTTATGAACACAGTGTGAATTGTTCACATCACCAGCTGTTTATGCAGAGCCGTTTCACTCACTTCTCCGCTTCACTTGCGCTGTTGTGTTTAGTTCAGCTTCAGTGATGCTGCAGGATGGGAATGTTGGACAAAGGGCTGTAGGCCACGCCCAGACAGTTCTCTGATAGGCCTGATAAACTGTGTCTTATTACATTTCTATCCTGTTTTTATATTCAAACATTTTCTGGATGTTTAATATAACAATTTTAGTACTATGCAAACATTTAAAATACAAAAAAGTTGGGACGCTGTGTAAAATTGAAAAAAGTTTAAATAAAAACAGAATGCAATGATTTTCAAATCTCATAAACCCATATTTTATTCACAATAGAACATAGGACACATATCAGATGCTGAAAGTGAGACATTTTACCATTTCATGAACAACATTAACTCATTTAGATCTTGATGGCAGCAACACATCTCAAAAAAGTTGGGACAGGGGCAACAAAAGGCTGGACAAGTAAATGGTGCTAATAAAAAACAGCTGGAGGAGCAATTTGCAGCTAACTCACATGACTGAGTATAAAAAGAGCATTTTAGAGAGGCGGAGTTTCTCAGAAGAAAAGATGGGCAGAGGTTCACCAACCTGTGAAAAACTACGTCTAAAATTTGTGGAACAATTTCAGAAAAATGATCCTCAACGTAAAATTGTGAAGACTTTGGAAATCCCACCATCTACAGTACATAATATCATCAAAAGATTCAGAGAATCTGGAGAAATCCCTGTACGCAAGGGACAAGGCTGACGGTCAATATGGGATGCTCGTGATCTACGGGCCCTCAGGCGGCACTGCATTGAAAACAGGCATGATTCTGTAGTGGAAATCACTGCATGGACTCTGGAACACTTCCAGAAATCATCGTCTGTGAACACAGTTTGCCGTGCAATCCACAAATGCAAGTTAAAGTATCATGCAAAGAAGAAGCCGTATGTCAACACGATCCAGAAATGCCGCCGTCTTCTCTGGGCCAAAGCTCATTTGAAATGGACTGAGGCAAAATGGAAAACTGTTCTGTGGTCAGATGAATCAAAATTTTAAATTCATTTTGGAAACCACAGACACCATGTCCTGTGGACACAAGAGGAGAGGGACCATCCAGCTTGTTATCATCGCACAGTTTAAAAGCCTACATCTCTGATGGTCTGGGGTTGCATTAGTGCCTATGGCATGGGCAGCTTACACACCTGGAAAGGCTCTATCAATGCTGGACAGTATATAGAGGTTTCTTTCAGGGTAGGCCTTCATATTTCAGCAAGACGACGCTAAACCACACACTGCATCCATCACAACAGCCTGGCTTCGCAGAAGAGTCCAGGTGCTGAACTGACCTGCCTGCAGTCCAGACCTTTCACCAATAGAAAACATTTGGTGTATCATGAAACAAAAAGTCCAGCAAAGAAGACCCAGGACTGCTGAGCAGCTAGAATCCTACATCAGACAAGAATGGGACAACATCCCTCTCCCAAAACTCCAGCAACTGGTCTCCTCACTTCCCAGATGTTTACAGACTGCTGTTAAAAGAAGAGGGGATGCTACACAATGGTGGACACAGCCCTGTCCCAACTTTGAGATGTGTTGCTGCCATCAAGTTCTAAATGAGTTACTGTTTTTCATGAAATGGTAAAATGCCTCACTTTCAGCATCTGATATGTTCTATTGGGAATAAAATGTGGGTCTATGAGATTTACAAATCATTGCATTCTGTTTTTATTTATATTTATTTACATTTTACACAGCGTCCCAACTTTTTTGGAATTGGGGTTGTATTTACTCTTAAAGTTCCCTCAGACTTTAAAGAGTAACCCCACCCTAAGACCTTTTTTGTTCATTAACAGCTGAAATGCATTGCTCTGTAATAATAATAAACACCAGCCTTGCTTGAAATTTGAACATCTTTACAAACAGAAAAAATACATTTTTTATTGTGGTCAGTTCCACCTCTGCTGCGCCCCCCCCCCACCCCCCCGCCCCCGGTTTCACTCTGCTACAGGAGTGGATGACGTGTCTTCATACCAAAGTACAATGTCATGTCACAATATGCAAATCAGTCAAACAATGTTACCGCCCCCCAATGACAAAGCATAGGAGTGTAGAGCAAGGAGAGAACCACATGTGCTGAGCTAAATACCCCCAGCACCACCTCACAGGTAAAGTTGCCATATGCCAGATGTCTGTAACAACTGTAGGTAACCCGAAGGACCTTTTGTCCGTACAGCCTTTCTTGAACTTATTCTTTGTTTTATCGAATACAGACCTGCTGAACGGTTAATTAGAAGCTGGCTGTCACAGTTTTGGGGAATGTTCTGCCGTTTGGACGCCTCTCAAACTCACTGCTAATCATTTTCTGGCACTACATTAACTCTTCGGTGGCTTTATCCTAAGAAAAAGTCTCCGTCAGATTCATGCCGTGTTCTTAAAGCGCAGAACTGTTCTCTCCTTTGTGCTGTTAAGTGTGTGTAGATTCTGTTCTTACCTAAGAACAAACCCCACATAAGAGACACTGGTGAATGACAGAGTCTTCGTAAAAACTGTGTAAGTGAGTTTAAGAAGAAATTTAAGATAAGAATCGTTGGTGAACGAGGACCAGTGTTCCAAAATGGCCAGTCCAGAAAGGCTCGTAATGATCACTGCTAAGGGAGACAGGGTCTGGAAAAACTGAGGGAGAACCAGTGTGAGGAACCAAGACTCAAAATGAAAAACTCACAGAGCATGAGGAGGGACCAGATGGTTCTTTGAGAATTCATGGTTCTATATAAAGCTACGGTCCTTACTGAAGAACCCTTGAAGAACCAACTTTTTTAAGAGAGTACACCCTACTGAACCGTCTCTCTCTCACCTGGAGGATGTTCTCCTCGGCTCCGTTGAAGAGGAAAATGACTCCGTGTGTCAGAGGAGTGGAGAGATTAGCCATCGAGCGCAGCACCTCCAACATCACAGCACAGCTCACAGCGTCATCACTCGCTCCTGAAACACACACAGACACGGAAGATCATGAGTGGTCAAACAGTTGATGAGTTCAGAAGGTTTTCCCTGCTGGGAGAACATTTCAGTGATTTTATCATCAAATTCTGGTGCATTCTGGGACCGTAATACAGGGGGAGCCCTGGTGGAATTATGTAGTTGACATACTTAGAGCTGAAACAACTATTCAACGTCAATGTCGACAATAAAGAATAAACCACAAACATTTCTGTTGATGATTTTTCATTTACATTTTCAAAGTGACCTTCATCTGAGTTTGAAATTGTCTCTGGAAAAAACCTGTGGTTATTTTCCACAAAGCAACCTAAATAATAGGATTCTATTACTGACATGTCATCTACTATAAAGCTAATAAACCTGCACAGACCTCTCTTGATCAAGAGGTCACATTGGCGTTCATGGAGATCTACAGTGACCAAATACTGTGGATAAACAGACTCAGTTTATATCACAATATCTACATTTAGAGTCGGTTATTCATTCAGCCTAATGAGAAACTGTAGAACAGACTCAGTTTATATCACAATACCTACATTTAAAGTCAGTTATTCATTCAGCCTAATGAGAAACTGTAGAACAGACTCAGTTTATATCACAATACCTACATTTAAAGTCAGTTATTCATTCAGCCTAATGAGAAACTGTAGAACAGACTCAGTTTATATTGCAATATATCGACTCATTGTTCGTCTTGCCTTTGTCTCTATGTAGCGATGAACTTGCCCAACAGGAAAGACTTATCAGTTTATCAGTTTCTTGTTTTGGCCATTCTATTGAGGCAGAAACGATCCTATTGAGTATGTACGTGTGTGTTTATTGACCCTCCGAAAACTAGTTGTACAACAAGGAAACTACAGTATACCAGGAAAAACATCGTCACTGGACTCTGGATCAGTGGAACCGTGTTCTCTGGAGTGATGAATCAGCTTCTCTATCTGTCAGTCTGATGATGAATCTGGGTTTGGTGGATGTCAGGAGGACGTTACCTACCGGAATGCAGAGCCAACAGTAGAGTTTGGTGGAGGAGGGATGATGGGCTGGGCTGTTTTTCAGGGTTTGGGCTCTCAGTTCCAGTGAAGGGTGATGTTGATGCTACAAAGACATTTTACACAGTTCTCTGCTTCCAGCTTTGTGTCAGCAGTTTGGGGAAGAGCCTTTCCTGTTCCAGCATGACTGAGCCCCTGCGCACAAAGCAGCTCCATAAATTCATGGAGTGACCAGTTTGATGTGGAGGAACTCCAGTGGCCCGCCCAGAGCCCTGACCTCAACCCCACTGAACACCTTTGGGATGAACTGGAATGTTGATTGTGAGCCAGACCCTCTCATCCAACATCAGTGTCTGACCACAAATTCTCTTTTGACTGAACAGACACAAAATCCCACAGACACTCTCCAACATCTTGAGGAAAGCTTCCCAGAAGAGTGTAGGCTCTTATAGCTGGATAGGAGGGCAAATCCATAATAATGCCCATGGTTTTGGAATAGGACGTCCAACAAGCTCATATTGGTGTGATGGTCAGGTGTCCACATACTTTTGGCCATATAGTGATCACAATACTTAAGGATATAGAGAATTTCATATAGAGAAATTGAATGCAGTCATTAGGGTTTGTACATGTTTAGTGATAATGGAGGGTCCACCACTCAGCCTGAAAGAAATCCAGGGTATAATGTAGCTAACAAGTGAGGCAATTAGCATCACCAATTAGCACAGTGATAACCGCATTCCTTGATCATCACACATTTGCTTCAAACCATGTGGAGTGGTTAAGTCATCTCAAATATTGGGTATAAATACTGGGTGTCAATTACCATAGAAAAACACTGGGCTTTAATAGTAGAACAGAAAAAACACTGAAATCAATAAAGCATGTCTGTACTTGCATTTAATTTTAATTTATTTTATGTGTAATTTTAATTTAAACATAATTCAACTAGTATTTATTTTGAATATGCTGAGTATTGTGTAACAGCAAGTAATCACCTCATTTCAACAGCTTCGTTTCACTGAAGGAAGAGAGGGCGCTCATTGAAAACAAACCACAGGAACATGCCTGCCTTCCTGTCAAACCCTCTACAAAAGCAACAGCACCAACGCAAAACCAGCCTGATCAGCCTCGGTCAGTTCGGCTTCCATAACACAGATTCAGAGAAGTATGTTTCAAAGAGGTGGAGAGTTCTGAGAAAACACTGAGGTTTAACAGCAACGCTGTTTATATAAATACATACACTCACTGGCCACTTTATTAGAAACACCTACCTCATACTTCCACTCACTGGCCACTTTATTAGAAACACCTACCTCATACTTCCACTCACTGGACACTTTATTAGAAACACCTACCTCATAATTCCACTCACTGGCCACTTTATTAGAAACACTCACCTTGTGCTTCCACTAACTGGCCACTTTATTAGAAACACTCACCTTGTGCTTCCACTAACTGGCCACTTTATTAGAAACACCCACCTTGTGCTTCCACTAACTGGCCACTTTATTAGAAACACTCACCTTGTGCTTCCACTAACTGGCCACTTTAATAGAAACATCAACATTGTGCTTCCACTAACTGGCCACTTTATTAGAAATACCTACCTCATACTTCCACTCCATGGCCACTTTATTAGAAACACCAACACTGTGCTTCCACTAACTGGCCACTTTATTAGAAATACCTACCTCATACTTCCACTCACTGGCCACTTTATTAGAAACACCAACACTGTGCTTCCACTAACTGGCCACTTTATTAGAAATACCTACCTCATGCTTCCACTCACTGGCCACTTTATTAGAAACACCTACTTGTGCTTCCACTAACTGGCCACTTTAATAGAAACACCAACATTGTGCTTCCACTCACTGGCCACTTTATTAGAAATACCTACTTCATACTTCCACTCACTGGCCACTTTATTAGAAACACCTACTTGTGCTTCCACTAACTGGCCACTTTAATAGAAACACCAACATTGTGCTTCCACTAACTGGCCACTTTATTAGAAAAACCCACCTTGTGCTTCCACTAACTGGCCACTTTATTAGAAACACCCACCTTGTGCTTCCACTAACTGGCCACTTCATCAGAAACACCTACCTTGTGCTTCCACTAACTGGCCACTGGCCACTTTATTAGAAACACCCTCCCTGTGCTTCCACTCACTGGCCACTTTATTAGAAACACCCACCTTGTACTGCCTCTAACTGGCCGCATTGTTAGAACTTAAGAACAAAAAAATAAATAAAAGAAAGGGGTTTATAATAAAGCGGCCAGTGAATTTGGGGTAAGGGGGCCCCTAAAATATCATTTTCAGTGCATATGAGGTCGCTCTCCGTACCTGGACTGTTGGCCACGCTGTCAAAGTGGCAGTTGGCCAGCATGAAGTGCTGAGCTCCTGTCTTGGGTTCGAGCCTGACGGCGATGTTGGTGACACGGTCGTAGTAACTAGTGAAGCCGCCCAGGAAGTCGATGCTGAAGGAGCCAGTGGGCCGCTGCACGTCCAGGGTGACAGCGTGAGGTCCGGTGGCACTCTCGTCTCGCACCAGCTCCACTTGCTGCAGGAGGTAGTTGACGGTCAGTACCTCGTTCTCCACACTGCCCACCGGCCGCGGACCCACGCCTGTGATGTGCTCCAGGTGCTTCCTGTTACAGAAAACACACAGGTCTGACTGTCGAGATGAGAGGAAAAAATGGAGACTGCAATATTTAGAGCTTTAAAATAGTATTAATAAACAAATATTGGTTCCTTAAATTACTATGTTATTACTTAATGACAAAAGTACATTTTCTGAAGACTGATTGCCCAGCTTTGGCAGTTCCCAGGTAGTTGCTACACTTTGATGCACCGCATACATTTATCACGGACTTGTCGAGGCAATAAAAGTATTAATCAATCAATCAATCAATCAACAGTACGATACATCGGCCAAACCTTAGGTTTACCAAAATCAACCGTTTGGAACATCATTAAGAAGAAAAGACAGAGTTGGTGGGCTTAGTAACCATCAGAGGTTAGCCGAGGAAGACCTCCACAGCTGAAGATTTCTCATCATAACAAAGAAAAATCCCCATACACCTTTTTCCACACTGTCCGAAAAATTGGATGGCCAGATTCCAGTTTGCTAAAAAGCAATTAACGGAGCCCGCAGAGTTCTGGAAAAAAACCTTGTCAAAGACCTTATAAAACCAAGATTAACTTGCAAGCACAAAGCGTGGAGGCGAAAAGGAACTTTTATTAAAAGATTATTAAAAGATCATTAAAAGATTCAGAGAATCTGGAGAAATCTCTGTATGTAAGGGACGAGGCTGAAAACCAGTATTTGCTGGCCGTGATCTTTGGGCCCTCAGACAGCACTGCATTAAAAACAGACATGAATCATTAGAGGAAATCACTGCATGGGCTCAGAAACACTTCTAAAACCACTGTATCCACAAATACAAGTTAAAACTCTAAAAGACAAAGAAGAAATCATATATAAACAGGATTCAAAAATGCTGCCACTTTCTCTGGGCCCGAGCTCAATTAAAATGGACTGAGGGGAAGTAGCACAGTGTTCTGAGGTCTGACGAATCAACATTTGAAATTTCTTTTGGAAATCACTCAGCCAGTAATCATGATGGTATAGGGGGCATTAGTGCACATGGCATAGGGGACGTGCACATCTGGGAAGGCACCATTAATGCTGAACGATATATACAAGTTTTGGCAACATATGCTGCCATCCAGACGACGTCTTTTTCAGGGAAGGGCTTGATTATTTAGCAAGACACTGTAAAACCACATTCTGCATGTATTACAGCAGCATTGCGCTGTATTAAAAGAGTCCAGGTGCTAAACTGACCTGTCTGCAGTCCAGACCTGTCACCACTGATAACATTTGGCGCATTATGAAATGAAAAATACGACAAATGAGCCCCTGAACTGATGAGCAGCTGAAATCCTGTATCAAACAAGAATGAGAAAACATTTCACTTTCAAAACTACAGCAGTGTCTCCTCAGTTCCCAAACACTTACAGAGTGTTGTTAAAGGAAGAGGTGATGAAACACAGTGGTAAACAGGCCCCCGTCCCAACTTTTTTGGAATGTATTGTTGGCATCAAATTCAAAATGGGCAGATATTTTTCAAAAAACAATAAAATTTCTCAGTTTCAACATTTAATATGTTGTCTTTGTAGTGTTTCCCTTAAAAATACGGTTTACATGATTTGCACATCATTGCATCCTATTTTTATTTACATTCTACACAGCGTCCCAACTTTTTTGGAAATGGGGTTGTAAAATTAGCCATAAACCTAAAAGAAATTTTTGCCCAGAAAAGGTGCTAAAACAAACACAAACACACAGCAGGCCAAGCATAAAGACTGATGCAATATTCACGAAGGAACCAAATCAAAGCCTGAAATGTACGCTGATAACTTCAGTGACCGAGATGTGGACACCACCAGGTTCTGGTGTGAACTCTGCGAAAGGGAACGTTGTGAACAGTCTGAATCTGTTGACTACAGAAGTGACTGGTCAACGTTTATCACATCATGAATGCTAACTCGCACAGCGCTCAGCGAACAACAGTCACCACAGGAGTCATGAGGTCAGCAAATAAGGAAACTAGAAGTTTCAGTCTCACTCATTTGCAAAGTTACACCACTGATAAGACGGTCCTCTCTGAGCCAAATGTACCTTTCTGGACACTTGACCTTACCTGACCTGCTGTGACCCACAAAAGCACAGGTAAGGTCTCTAACTAGAGCAGCTAATGTTCCACATTGCCAGTTCATTTGCGCAGCTTCATGCATTTAAGTCTTAGTTCCTCTCGGTGCCTCTTCTTGTATTCTTGGGAAAGTTCTCCTTTTGAGACTTCCTCAGGGTTTTTCCTTCATGCTCTTAGGGAGTTTCCTCTTGAGTCTTGGTTCCTCTCAGTGGTTCTTCCTTGTGCTCTTAGGGAGTTTCTCTTTCTGAGTCTTGGTTCCTCTCAGTGGTCATTCCTAAAGCTTCAGCTTACGTTTCTTAAGGCAACCCATTAAATCTCCTTTGGTCAATATGTTCTCCAAGCTCGGAGCGCAAATCTGAAGAATCTGTGTGTACAGAAGAATTGATCAAAGGCAGTATTTGTGTCTACTGACACAGCAGTGCTGCTGGAGTTTCAAACACCTCAGAGTCGCTGCTGGACTGAGAATAGTCCACCAACCAAAAATATCCAGCCAACAGCGTCCTGTGGGCAGCGTCCTGTGACCACTGATGAAGGACTAGAGGATGACCAACACAAACTGTGCAGCAGCAGATGAGCTATCGTCTCTGACTTTACATCTACAAGGTGGACCGACAAGGTAGGAGTGTCTAATAGAGTGGACAGTGAGTGGACACAGTGTTTAACTCCAGCAGCACTGCTGTGTCTGATCCACTTGTACCAGCACAACACACACTAACACACCACCACTACGTCAGTGTTACTGCAGTGCTGAGAATGATCCACCACCCAAATAGTACCTGCTCTGTGAGGGTCCATGGGGGTCCTGACCACTGAAGAACAGGGTAAAAGGGGGCTAACAAAGTATCAGAGAAACAGATGGACTACAGTCTGTAACTGTAGAACTACAAAGTGCACCTATATAGTAAGTGGAGCTGATAAAGTGGACAGTGAGTGTAGAAACAAGGAGGATGTGTAATTGAGGATGTGTTATCGACAAAATATGCCATCTAACCACACTTTGGCTGTGTTTAGTTTGGTTTGCATACTGTGTATAATGTGTATTCTGTAATATCATCTGCAGATGTGTCTTCATTTTTATTATTTGTTTACTATTTGTATACTGGATTGTTTGTTCATGCATGCTCAAATTCCACCACATAAAAATTTCTAAACCCATTTTTATATACTTAAGATAAAATTTTCCAGGAAAATACCTTTGTGTATGACCTTTGTACACAGACAAACCTGGAAAATATGACTATATTTATCATTATTGTAATAAATTACACCACAATTTGCTTTTCGGAGCATAAGAATCACTTTCCCACTGCATGTTTGATTAAAAACATGAGCTTAATCAGTCCTAATAATTTGATCTAGTGCAGCACAGTGAGTGAAGTGTTTAATACAAGTAACAGGTTCATAGTTTTGATAGTATTTTTAAAACGTGGTGCTACTTTGTCTGTTCTAACTTATCAGACATCAGAAAAAATACATATTGTGACATCATGTATCGTAAACCAGTGTTGTCTCTGGCACAGAAAGCCTGGTGGGGCACAATAAACCGCAGGGGCAGCAGCGACTCGTCAATGAAACTCCACACAAACCTGATCTGAACACAAACGCACTCAATCAATGACATAACACATTCATAAATCAGCGTAACGGTGCAGGAGTTGGTGGAAGTCGAGATGGGAATATGAGTGATATGATAACAGATTAGATCTCACGAGACCTGGCTATAAAGCATCGCATTACAAACCCAAAGTTATCATGAAGTTTACGATCATTGTGGTCTGCAAATACACATCCAAAGCAACACGCCTTGTAATAAAGCAGAATGACTCACAGTGACGTTCACTGCTCGAAAAGAAAAGATGCAGGATGATCTTTAATCTGGGCAAACTTGTCAAAAACGTCTCTCTCTAAGTCACCAATCCATGAATGAACTTAAGTGATATCATAGCGAGGGCAGGCAAGGAAAGCAGGAGAGTGTTTTAGCTACACTCACAGTCAGCCATGTTTTTCTCTTGAACCTCTCTGGACTGAAGGAGCAGTTTTTGTCCTTTCCAGACCGAATGATGTTGAAATCCTCTGCCTGGTGTGTCCCAAACGTTTAATCTCTAATTTCTGCTCTAATGTCTGGAACCAAATTGAACTTTATAACGTTTTTCGAACTGACTCACTACATTGCTTTGCTATTATGAGTTGCTACCACATCTGAGGAACAGTGGCTAGCTGTGCAGTAACACCAACATCGTAAACAACGTTACTAAACGTCTGGACATATGTAAATGTATTATGTTGTATTGGCTACTCTCAGTATGGGGCCAGTGTGATCGGCCCCACAGCTGGTTATTGTAAACATGTTGAACTTGCGCAGAGTGTTTTTAACTGCTCTCTTGGTTAGACGAGCGCTGACGGGCCCCACGCTCACCAGACGAAGACTGCAAGAAGAAATAGGCAGCCTACTGGCATTTACACAACAGATACAGGAAGATATTTGGGATGTAGAAGAAAAATAAATTACATATAAATGTATATATAGATATTGCCGGAAGAAAACCTTGTATCTCCATTTTTGTCATAATTTGAAAATGGCTGTTGTGTGTAAAGTTCATGATGAATGGACCAAAAGAAACGACCCAAAATTACTTGGAAAGACGTCTGGTTCCATTGACTTACATTAAAAGTAAAGCATGTTTTCTCCTTCTCCTGTAAAGTTACCATTTTGGAGATACGAGGTTTTTGTAACAGTGAGATATTAGTTGTTATGCTTAATTATTGATCATGCCGCGCACTGCTCCACAGCGACATCTGGTGAGGCCCTAAAGTAGAAACGCCACTGTCGTAAACTACGTCCTTCAGTATCGTGATGTTACATTTTGCCACATCATCTACAAATCTATGTAATCACACATCTACATTAGTGAATTTACACCTGCAGATTTTTGTTTATTTATATCCACCGCTGTGTAAAGCTTTTCAGTTTTATTTAAATCCTCAATGGTTCTCTTTTCCGTTCCTTCTTATTTTATGTCTTTTCTTTTTTCTGCCGTTGATGTTTCATAAAGAAATTAAGTCTGATACGTGAATATTGAGCTTCAATGTATCGTACACACTTAAAAAATGGCTCTTCAAGAACTATTTGCATGCTTAAATGGTTCTTGGCATTGTGAAATGGTCCTTCAGACTGATGGAGAATGTGTTGTAAATGGTTCCATACAGAACCTTTTTGAAAAGGGTTCTACTATTATTACAAGTTTGACATCAAAACAATAGCAGAACCCTTTTTGGTGCTATACAGAACCATTTCACTATCTGAAGAACCATTTAAGCATTCAAAGAGTGCTCATGGTTCTACATAGAAACACTGTCTTACTAAAGAACCCTTGAAGTACCACCTTTTTAAAGAGTGTACTGTTATTCTGTTATTGTATAAAAGGTTATTCGCAACAATAAAAGAAAGATTACTGTGACACAACAACAACAACAATAATAATAATAATGACAGCAGCTCAAAGGGCTTTTCAGACAGGTGATAAAAGTTAATAGAGGAGGTTATGAGTGTTGAATTAAATCATATAAGACAGGCAGATCAAACTAAAAAGATTAATATGAAGAGTTTTAATTAAACGCTTCATTAAAGAGATCCGGGAACTCAGACACCGTAACTGAGCCGGATGAGCCGGTCACGCTGTGTTGTTGTTGTTGTTGGTGGTGGTGGTGGTGGTGGTGCTCCCGGACTCACCTCGCTCTGTCCGAGCTGAACTCGCCGCTGTCCCCGCCGATGAGCAGCTGATGGACGGACAGCTGCACCAGCGCCCACTGCGCGCCCACGAACAGCACGAGCAGCAGCAGCGCCGCCGCTTCGCTCAGCTGCAGCAGGCCGGCCTCGGGCTTCCCCTTCCCGTTCCCGCGCTCCGCAGCGCCCCGCTCCCTGCTGCGCTGCTCTCCGAGCGGCTCGGGCTGCTCGGCTGCGGGCCGGCGGGGCTTCACCCTCCGCTCCAGGAGCTCCATACCGTCCAGACCACCGTCCATACTCACCCACAACACTTGGGTCAGACCCGGAACGGAGCGCGCAGAGGAACAAACTAGCGGAGGATGGAGAGGGAGGGGCGAGAGCCCAGACCCCGCCCCCTCTACAATGCCGGAAATGTGCGAAAACACAAAAACTTCATAATAAGGTCGACTTTTATTTTGTAAATGTGATTTTCTTTCATGTTTTTGGAGCGAGATTACACTTATTATTATTATTATTATTATTATTATTATTATTATTATTATTGTTACTTGCAACAAGCTTAATGATATTAATGACTCTAGTGTGGAGTAATGAAAGGTAAAATAAAAGAAATAAAATAAATAAACGAAAATAATCAAATTAAAATGCTGGCTTAAAATAAATTACAATAATAAACAATAATAATAAAACTAAATAATAATAAAAAATAATAATTACGTTATAAAAATAATTGCCCATAATTTACTTGTATTACCACTATTAAAAATGATAATAAATAATAATAATAATCATGATAATACCACAATCACTACTATACTACTACTATCACTACTATACTCCTTGTAATGGTAATAATAATAATAATAATAATAATAATAATAATAATAATAACAATAATAATAACAATAATAATAGATCATTAAGTTCTACAAGACTACTCGCACTACAACAATTCCTCCTCCTCCTCCTCCTATTACTAATAATAATAATAATAATAACAATAATGATCACAGCATAATAGTAGGTGCTCATTTACTATGAAAAACTGCTATAAGACGCCTTGTATTACCCAAATCCTGTAGCGTAAGATCTGTTTAAAACTGGGAAACCACAGGCTTGTTGTTGTAGCCTCATCACAAAGATTAAATAATTAATATCCTTTATGCGCAATACGTGCTATAAAAATATCCTAAAAGTTCAATAGATGACTAATATAATATTAGAGTATAAACTGCATAATTTGGTTGACGTACTTCAAGGGCCCACCCCTCCATTCCTGGAGTCCAGCGCAGTTTGTTGGTCCCCTACTCAAACACACCCACTAAACAAATTAACAGATGAGTGTATTCAGGTGTGCTTGAGCAGGTAAATCACCTGACTGTGCTGGACACCGACCCTCTAGGACCCCTGATTTACAGACTCAAACAAGGGCTTCCTAAATGAATAAAGCAGTGATATTGCGCCCTCTGCAGGTGATCCTGTGCGCTACATCTGGCTGCCTATGACAGAAATAGATCTTGCTGGTTTATTTACCTGGTAAATGGTGATTCTGATGCAAACTTTCTGCAATAAACATATAATTAAATATTATAAAATGAAGTATTTCCTGATCTGTCGTCCTGTTGTGGAACAAGGACACAGTTGGATTGAGCTTAAATGCAGATCATTCAAAAAGTTTGTGAATATTTGTTCTGCCTGGCTGTAAACACACTGTTTGGTGTGAAATGGTTCAGATGTCTTTACAGTGGTGGTGATAGGAACCAGGGGTTGCCATGACTACAACACAGATATAGACATTTTATTTACTATCCAGAACCACCAGTGAACCTACACGAGTCTTCTGAGTTTATATGGAATGTTGATGATGGAAAATAGTGGAAAATCTGAAATAATAAGTTTTCTTTGGGGACTATTTTGCCTCACAGCGCCCTGCATGTATCCCTCCACCATGAATGGAGTTTAAGTTCTCTAAACTATCATAAAACAGTGTCTCAGTCATCAGGCAGTGAATTCATAACCATTTCCTGTAGTAACTTTCTGTGAGGGAGCTTTTAGAGGTGGACGTCTGGTTCCTATCACCACTACTGTGAACAAATTGAATGTTATTGCATTTTAAAGCAGTTTTCCGCTATGAAACATAAACTTTGCCATTTAACATTTAATGTAGAAATACAATGTTGTGTCTCTTTGCTAGCTATGTTATCTGAGGCGCTTGCTAACGTTGCTAATGTTCCCACAGGCTGATAAGGAAGAATTAAACCTGGTGGATTCTCTCTCTTCTAAAGTGAAACATAATAAGTGCTGGTTTCTCTAGTCTTAATCTAATCCCACTTGAACAGGGCTTATGTTTTGACAAAATTGAGGGAAAAATGAATCTTAACCTACCCTATTAGGGCAACTAGCACAAGTAAATAAGTGGCTATGTATGAGATACCTACACCTACAGGAGCTTTTCTGGCATCCTATTCTAAATCCATAGGCATTAATATGGAGTTGGTCCCCCTTTAGAGCTATAACAGCTTCCACTCTGATGTTGGACGAGAGGGCCTGGGTCGCAATCTCCGTTCTGGTTCATCCCAAAGGTGTGTGATGGGGTTGAGGTCAGGGCTCTGTGAGGGTCAGTCAAGTTCTTCCACACCAAACTCACCCAGTCAGGCCTTTATGGAGCTGCTTTGTGCACTGGGGCTCAGTCATGCTGGAACAGAAAAGGTTCTTCCCCAAACTGTTCCACAACGTTGGAAGTGTACAATTGTCCAGAATGTCTTGGTGCTGAAGCATTAAGATTTCCCTCCACTGGAACTAAGAGTTCTAGACCAACCCCTGAAAAACAGCCCCATATCATCCCTCCTCCACCAAACTCTACAGCTGGCACAGTGCAGTCAGGCAGGTAACGTTCTCCTGAACCCAGACTCGTCCATCAGACTGACAGATAGAGAAGCTGATTGGTCACTCCACAGAATACGTTTCCACTGCTCCAGAGTCCAGTGGTGGCGCTTTACTCCACTCCATCCAACGATTGATATTCCTGCCATGAAGCTCCTGGTGCAGTTTCTGTGCTGATGTTGCTGCCAGAGGAGGTTTGAACTCTGCAGTTATTGATCAGCAGAGTTTTGGTGTCTTTTATGCTCTATGCTCCTCAGCACTCAGCGACCCGCTCTGTAACTTTACGTGGTCTGACACTTTGTGGCTGAGTTGCTGTGGTTCCTAAATGCTTCCACTTTTTAATAAATCCACTCACAGTTGATCGTGGAAAATCTAGGAGGGAAGAAATTTAGTGAACTGCCTTGTTGCAACAGTAGCATCCTATTACAGCACCACACTCAAATCCAGTGCATTCTTTAGAACGACCCATTCTTTCACTAATGAAACACAAGGGCAGACTGCATGGCTAGCTGCTCGATTTTGTTCACTTGTGGTAATGGAACTGAATGAAACACCTGAATCCAATGATTAAGAGGTGTGTCCCAATACTTATGTCCATATTGTGAATCTGTGAAGTATTATGTAATACTGTATAATCCCTGATGTTTGTAAAATGGCCTGTAAGCATCTGAGCAGTAGACAGCCTCTGTTTTCAGTTAATGAATAAATAAAAGCCGGCAATGATGTACTGTTTTCCCAATACGACGACTTCCGCTGCGTTGAATACGGGAGTGTAAAAAGGGTCTATTGTGGATTGCAGGACCCCGAGGGCATCGTATGGGACTGGACTAAACTGTGTCTTGTTGTGGACGAATTACAAAAAGTCCTTGTGGGGCCCCCTGGTGGTTCGGAGTGACCATGTTACCTTTAATCTCAACCTGCACAACAGTAAACATCAGACAGCTAACGTTAGCTTGACCTTATTAGGTCACTTAGGTCATAAGATTCTTAAGTCATCTTTGTAGTCAAGCAGGTATAAATGCATTTACCAATTAGATTTATAATCTATTCCTAATATACTATGTGTTATTTTCCACTACTAAACTGATTAAATTTGTATAAACTATATCAATTATTAGCCAGTTCTTCATGTTTAGATGACCTACCACAATGAATTGCACTAAGATGCTAACTCCCTTTGTTCCTCAGAGAATCTGCAGACTCACCTCCAAAGTTCAGTCTTAGAAGCTGGTTGATCATTTTCTGAAGTAATCAAACACATTCAGTGGTGTTGAGGTCTGGACTCTGGGGGTGGTCAGTCCATTGTCCAGCTTCTTTGTTTGATGTGTCCGTCTCCTTTTCTCAGTGAGGTTCTTCTTGATCAGCTACACATCCTTTCAGACCCACAGCGCTGAGTCGTCTTCTCACAGTGGAAGGATGGACAGAAACACCTGTGGATGTTTTCAGATCTGATCAGCTTGATTTTCTCCTCTCTCTCAGAGATGAAAGCTTTAAGTGCTGTTTATCTGATGGGGCAGTTTTGGGGTCGACCAGCTCTTCCAGGCGGCTGTTAGGAGTCACGTTCTCCTTCCTTATGCAAATGGATTATCTTATATCTGATGTGCTTACAGATATCTTCTGAAAATCAAGGTGGGAAAAAGGAGCAGTGGTAGGAGAACAGCTTATAGGTTCCACAGCAACTGAAGTTCCTTCTTAGAACTGTACATCCAAGACAAGAACCATGTAGAATTATATCTAAACAACCTTTCAGAAACAGTATTTGGTCATCAGGCAGCATCCTCAGATGACCACGTTACCCAAAAGTCACAAGAGACCTACGCTTGACCTCAAGGTCGTCTTGAAGCGGTCAGTTCAATGCCAGCTACAGGAGCACCACAGTGTTTCCAATACAGCTTTACTGTAAGCAATTGATTAGTGCATTTTATTTTATTAATTATTAACGCCTATCAATATGCACCCCTCGTGGCTCTGGCCTCCTAAAGCAGTCGCTTGCACCTGGCGGTCAGCAGACAGAGAGGGGTTGTGAGTGGTGTGTGTGGTGGGGGGTGTTTTCACGCTCATTACTTCGGTTCAATCATGGCTTAGTTAGAAAGTAGAACCCGTGACGGTCATGAGAATTCTTTTCCTTGCGGATCTCGAGCTCACAGCAGCCACGAGGGGTTTAAGGAGGAGGAGAGAGCGAGAGACAAAGAGCAAGAGGGAGAGAGAGAGAGAGGACTGGACTTACTCCGGCCCAGCCTGAGAGCCACTTCATCTCTGTAATCAAATTATCCAACTCGGGTAAGATTTGATTGGCTTTTTTGGTTTTTCAGGCATGCAATAACACTGATTTGATCTCATTCTGATGTTTTCCTTCAGGAAGTTTGAGTTAGATTACTTAATTCATCTAATAATCTATTCATAATACACTGCAAACCTTGTTAGTGCTATGTGTTACTATGGATTATCCTCTATTAAATTGATTAAATTGGCATAAACTATGGCAATTCAGCTATTAATGTTCATATAATCTACCACAAAGAACTGCACTGAGATGCTAACGCTCATTATTGCAGTTTTTATACTTCTGAAATATAGGCTGCGTCCAAAATCACATACCTATACTATATCTACTGTACTAATGAGTGGATTTTGGACACAGCGATAATTTAAGACTAATTTTTTAACAAATTGTTCTAAGATGCCAACATTTAATATTGCAGTTTTCGTTCTTTTGTAATATAAAATAAAATAGATTATTCTAAGATTTTAACATTTATTATTGCAATTTTTGTACTTAAATTGAAATGAAATGAAATTAAACAACTAATTGTTTTAAACTGCTACATTTTTTTTGCAGTTTTCATTTTTTCGAAATATAAAATAAAACTACAAATTGTTCTAAGGTGCTTTATTATGGCAGTTTTTGTACTTTTGAAAAATAAAACAAGACAACAATTTGCTCTACGATGCTAACGTTCAACATTTTCATACTTTTCATATTATTGTGCACTGTCCCTCAGGAACGATGCCTCGGGGTGACTTCAACGTTCATTTTGCAAGCAGAGGCCGTGGCTCCTACATCAGGGCAGAGGAGTAAGTATGAATTTTATATTGATTATTTTGACCAATAAGTCTTCACTTAATCTATGTACTGCACTGTTTAGTGTTTTTCTTTGCTCTGTCAAATTCAGCTCATCTTGGCATGGAGTAGGACTGAACTGTAGGGCTGCAGTATATTAGTTGGTCATTGATATCATGATATCAGCCTCAGTAACACTGATATCGCAGGAGGCAGAAATATGCAAATGAGTTACTAATTGAGGAATTGATGTAATTCAACAAAAGGAAATTATCTTGGTCAAAATAAAATCTTTAACCAGGTCACATATTTGATTCACCCTTGTGTTTATAATATACTATAAGAAGTATCACAACCTCAATATGTAGCAATATAATAATCATACTAACTTTCTATCCAGGTTAGCATTTAGCATTTTAGTAGTGCATCATTCTGTGGTTGGATGCCTCCAGGTCTTTTTTCCTCTGTGATAAAAATAAAAAGGCGTATTCAAAGATTACTGCTCTTATGTTTTGAGTCACATGGTACACAGAAATGCTCTGTATGTACATTTTTCCTCAGAGTTTCACTGAATTACTCAACATTTCAGATACAAATAATAATGCTACATACGTGCTAATAGCAAGCTAACACTCCAGCACACCGCAATGACTTAGGATGAAGATAAGTCAACTATTAAACTTCAACACTAAAAACCCCTCTAGCTATAGCCTAAGACTGCCAAAGCAACTACACTACCACATTTAACAAAGCTTGCTTGCTTATGTGGGGTATTTTGGTGAGATTACCAGCCTTACGATATCAGTTCAGTGCTTAGCAGTGTTAGCTTGCATGTAGCAATAGTCATATTTTGGTTCCCCACAATACAGATCCAGCTTTCCCTGCTAGAAAACCACCACAGACCAGCATGGATTTTCACCAGCAAAACCAGGACATGCTTAGTTTTGATGCTGGTAGTCTGATCAACCAGCATGACCATGCTGGGGTGATCAGCTGAAAGACCACCAGCAAGAAATGCTTGTTGGTCTGTGCTGTTTTTTCAGCAGGGTTGGAACATTCTTGCTTACCACAGGAGGCGATAGCAGCGATATTTAAAGAAGGCATTCTTTTTTCTAGCTCTAGCATCTATGTGTACTCTTCACAAAAAACAGGACAAACTTTGGCGGCATATAACACACAAAACGTAAATGGCACAAACAGGGTTAAGTTCTTTGAGTTGTCATGTCTTCCAGGGCTGCTGGTATTGCCTTACTGGCAATTATCCTCACCGCTCTGCTCATCCTGGGCTGCTGGTACTACCGCCGACGGAGTGGATACAAAATGATCCGGGTGAGGAGCGCCGCTCTTTCATACCAAATAATGCCCCAGTTTGGCCACAAACGTTTCATCAATTCCCCTTCTTACCCTAAATACAGTTGTTCAGCCAAAACATCCCTGCTAAAAAAAAAGACCAGCATGAATTCTAAGCTAGACTGAAGCTGGTTTAGTTGGTCACCCAGCATGGTCATGCTGGTTGCCCAGCATGCCAGCATCCAAAACATAGTTTTGCTGGTGAAATGATGGTCTGTGATGGTTTTACTTGCAGGGATGTTTGGTTTGCTTCTATAGTTTTGCACTGGAGCCACAAAACTAATGTACACTCTTAAAATGGTCCTTCAAGGCTTCTTAAGGGAATGGTTCTATTTAGAACCATGAGCTCTACATAGAACCATTTCATGCTTAAATGGTTAAATTATTCTTCAGATTGATGAGGAATGTGTTGTACTTCTATGTGGCACCAAAAAGGGTTTGTCCATTGTTACAAGCTTGACAGAACCCTTTACAGAACCATATACAACACATTCCCCCTCAATCTGAAGAATCACCATTTCTTTAGGAAAGGCAATGGTACTATATAGAACCCTGAGTTCTGTACAGAACCCTTTCATGTTTAAATGGTCCTTGGTGAAACAGATCTTCAGATTGATGGAGAATGTTGGATATGGTTCTATATAGCACAAAATGGTTATGCTATACAAGCTTAATATCATACTAACAATAGCACCCTTTTTGGTTCTATATAGAATCATATACACCACATTCCTCATCAATCTGAAGAACGATTTCACCATTTAGGCATGAAAATGTTCTCTATAGAACCATTCCCTTTACTAAAGAGCCCTTGAAGAACCATCTTTTTTTTTAAGGGTGTAGCTAACAAGAAATGGAAGCTTTACAGCACCAATTAGCACGGTGCTAATGGCATATCATTAGCCTCAAACCATGTTGAGCTGTTTAGAAATTTCAATTAGACTTGCTTATGTGGTTTCTGACACTGTATATCATGGTCTAATACATCAGCATGGCTAAAAACAGTAGCAGCCTCATCTTAGCCTGAATTTTGTCCATTTTTATAGATATCAGGATGTTATTCTGGGTATAAAGGTGCGAGTTGGTCTATTTTGGCTAAACTATCATTTTAAGCTCTCTCTCAGAACAGATTCCTCTCTCTGAGGCCAGTTTTGAAGGTTCTCCGTCTTAGCGGAAAGGGTTAGCATTTGAGATTTGCAGAGTTTGGCGTGGGAGTGGAATTTACTGCAGGTCACATGACCTGGCAAAAGGTCAGGACGTTGGAAGGGCTGTTACTCAACTGTAAAAAGAGCTTTTTTTCATAAGACAAACCATAATAAGGCTTTACTTCACACAATGTGAAAGCTACTATCAATATCAATAAACAATATCAATAACACTTCCTCTCTGTCAGTGGAAGTTTATGCATGCCATGTAATCACACTTAAGTAACTGTTTAAGACTTTTGGAATAGATACATGGAATATATTATTAGGGTTTAGTCTAGAATTGAAACTGTGAAAAATCTAATTTTTTTTCACCTTATTTATAACATCATCATTTTCTTTTTTAATCTAGGAGTTTTTAATCAAGGTTTTTTATTCCATCCCTACTGAACATTCCCAAAACTTTATTCTCAAACTTTTCTAAAACTGAAGTGGGGCGATTCTGGCTGAGAAGCACATGGCTGAACATCTCATTGTGTCTGTTGACGCAGAACGCCCGAGGCAGCAGCCAGTCCTGGAGGGACATCATGAGATCAGGGCAGTACAGCGAACCAGGAGCTGCAGCCGAAAACAAAGTGGCCCTTACTGAATTCAGCAACCTCCAACCAGCAGTAAGAAACAAGAATTTTGTACTTGTAACAAATGTGTGCTTCCAAAACTAGATATTTTACAGCCTTTAACAGCCAAAACAAAAGTTTTGGGCAGCCAAGAGAACTATTTTCTATTTATCTTGGCAGAAATTGGGTTTTTTCAAGTAAAAACACTAAACAACTCTAGAATAAACCCAAATAAATATGAATACAGTCAAACATAACAGGAATTTCATGATTTCAGTAAAGTTTTGAATATGTATGTTGAACGAATATAGTCAGGAGAACACAGGCTTACATATATGTTAAATACCAACTGATTTAATTTATTAGACATATTGGATAATTATTGGTAATTATAAATGCTGGACTTCCTCTAGGAGACCTTTGGGAAATGGCGAATGACCACAACTTACTGTTTATTTGCATTTATTTTAATGTCAGTGAACAAAAAAACACTTCCTGACCACATAAATGGCTTTGCATATCATCTCAGACATCTGCACAGTAGACGGATTATAAATCAGAGGGCACAAACTGCCATCACAGTGTAGATCTTCTGCTGGAGAATCACAGGGCAGTCAGACCATCGTTACCCAGAATGCCAAAGGGTATAAACGGGCCGTGTGACTGGACGCAGCAGCGAGCCGAAAGGCTTCAGGGCTTCAGAATTGCATCATGAGGCATGCAGTAAGGATTACCAGCTGGAATTTGTGAAGGGGGAGAGTTCAAAGTCCTACCAGCTCACGGGAACCTCCTGTGATTCCTCTATTTCAGTGTGAGAAACTGCTCTGCAAAAGAACAGCTCAGCTGGGGGACCAGATTACTGAGTTCCCCACCCTCACTCCAAACGTGGTTGATCAACCAAGTTTGGTGTCTAAAGTTTGCTGCTTTAGTTTTAGCACTGAAGCTACAACACTAATGTAGATAACAAGAAACGGAAGGCTTATGTGGTTTCTGACACTGTAGGTCTGGGATTAAGCCTAGTCCTGGACTACACAGCATTCTGAATCGAGATCCTCCTATAAAAGGAAAACATAGTCCAGGACTAGTCTGGGAAATCGATACCATCTTTTTTGAGTAGTCTAGGAGCAGCATTACTTGGGTCAGTGGGAGGTTAGGAACCTTGGGCACCACTAAGCATATTCAGTCATTACAGGGGATTCGAACCTACGACCTTCTGGGTGCTGGCTCACCTTACCTACCAGTGGTCTACCAGTCATGCTACGTACACATAATATGGTAAAGGTTCTTTATCAATTTCAGGGATCATTCTAGAACCTTGACACTATATGGAGGCTCTTTAAAAAGGTTCTTCACACTCACACATCTCATTTATAAAAATAGTCCTCTACAGAATCATCCACTGAAAGTTCTTAAGGGAACCAAAATGGTTCTTCTATGGGGGTGCTCACCAACTCTGGTCCTGGAGATCTACCTTAATGTGGACTGAAGTTCAAACCACCTGTCTCAGCTTCACAGGACTTTGATTAGCTGGATCAGAGGCATCAGTGAAAAGTGGGGCAGCATGTTAGATGTAGGTTGGAGTTAAACTCCAGATCTCCAGGAAGAGGGTTGGTGACCACTGTTCTAAGGCATCACCCATAGTGTAAAACCATCCTCCAGTGAATGTACTGTTACTGCAATAAAGTAATGACTGCAGTAGACTGCAAAAAACAACTTCCCTACACTCCTAAACATGGTGGTTCTTCAAGGGTTCTTTAGTAAAGAAAATGGTCCTATATAGAACCATGAACACTCCAAGAGCACTTGAAGATCAAAGGGTCCTTTGCATTGTGAAAGCGTTCTTCAGATTGATGGCGAATGTGCTGTAAATGGTTCTATACAACACCAAAAAGTGTTCTTCTATTGTTACAATGTCAAGCTTATAATAACAGAAGAACCCTTTTCGGTACTATATACAATCTCTTTCAAAAATGTTCTATACAGAACCATCTACAGCACGTCTCAAGAATGCTTTCATGATGCAAAGAACCCTTGAAGAACCATCATTTTGTACAAATGTAAACCTCAAATAAACTACTTAAGTACTAATTACTCAAAACTGCAGGGGAGATTCTTAGTCCATCTAGCATTTATCAATGTAGGAACTGAAGTTTTGGCTCTGTTCCTCTCTTTGTGGATTATGTTGGTCTAAAGTGCTAAAGCTCTCAAGTAAGACGTGTGAGCAACAGTAAAGCAGTCCAGGAGCTGAATAAGCACGAGTGACTAAAATTAAAGCCAAAAGAAAGAATAAAAAACTGGACGTGAATGACTAAAATGGAACGGGGTGAAAAGTAGATTACTCACTAACATACCTGATTATCATTTGTGTACCATAACAGGGTTCAATGCACCACCTTTTTTCCACTGAAATAAACTTTTTGCTATGTTTCGTCTGGGCTGATCGCAGCCCTGCTGTGTAGAACTCGACCAGATTATAGTTCCATTACTTACCAAAGCTTCACTTACCACGGTACGCCACGGTATGATTTTCCAACATGGTTACAAGGCTACTTAGTTAGTACCCAATTTTATCAGCCAGCCTTCACCACAGTTCATCACAGTACAACAGTTAGCATGGTCAAAATACAGGAAACTGGAACCGTCCCCCCCTTTTTAAACACTGGATATTTTAATGACATATTGACTGCCGAACTCAAAATGTCCCCAGATTCTGAATCATTCCAACTCATCCCAAAGGTACTGAACGGAGTATAATCACTCCAAGGCCCAATGCCCAGTGCTGGGGGTGGGGTGTGGGGGGTGGGGGGGTTTATACCCCTCACTTGGCATTGGGCATGTTGAACTGGCTCACGTGTGACTCCCATTCTATTGGTCAATGCTTTTCTATAGAGTGCATCTGAACACCTGTATAAGCAACCTTAAAGTATGAATTCACCAACAAGGGGTGTCTATATACTTTTGGAACTAGAGAGTACTATATATATCATGATTAGGCTGTGACCTCAAAATTGGTCCCCAATCCTTTCAAATCTGGCCTTCTCTTTTGTTTTGCAGGTACCCAACGCCCCACCGGCCTATGAGAAGATTGCTTCTGGACCATCACCACCACCTTACTCACCCTGAAGAACTTCACTGGGTTGAATAGCTCACTTATGGGCCTTGTTTGATTTTAACGCTCGTTTCGATAACAAAATGCTGAAGAAATGTGGGACTTGATCCATGACGAATTCACTGTTGCTTGGCTTAGCATGTATATCAGTCCACTGTTGTGCCTTATGGAATATACTCTGCTAGGTGCTTCAAAGGTACAATGAGACTTTTACGTTATGCTTGTCAGTCACATTTTACCGGTTATGTGTTATTCTTGTGGAGGATGTACAGCTTTTCCTTATCTTTCAGATTGCTAGGCATCTTCCTATGAGTCTCTACCGTCATTCTGTAACATTCATTTTGTACAAATTGATAATTAGACTTGCAATATGTAGTCACTGGCCATTTAAATTGAATTGTTATTACTAAACTGTGCATCCTCCCAGTGTACAGTACATCATTGGTGCTTTTCTCACTTTTGGCTCAACAAATATCAGCTGTTTGTTTTCAGACACTAAAGAACAATGTACAGTCTTACAATCCATTTTACAACAAGTGGTTTGTACAATTTTTAAAACTGCTAGTACAGTCGCACATTGTGAAGTCTGCCACGTTTGCTGTTTGTTTGGAACACCATTTTATTGCACTACAGTCGCCCTCATTTATCAAAGTTGCGTATGGTCAAATCTGTGCAAGCAAATTTCAGCGACAGCTTTGTTATTCATCAGTTTCATTTTTGGCTCATCTGTACAATCACACAATGTGTCATTCAGGGTGGTCAAATCTGCATTTTTACGCAACTAAATAAAGGCCATTGTCTATGAATAAGAGTAATGTTGAGTAATGTATGCACTGTGCATTGTCTATGGCTTTTAAACAGAACATCAATGAATGCAGCTTAAATGTGACAAGAGGCATGATCTAATACAGGGGTCGGCAACAAGAGGCTCCTCTTTTACTGCCTGTGTTTACTGTTGTGGCTCCACAGCAGAATTACGTTCTTCAGGTAAAAATAAAATAGTCCCCCTATGCAGTAAAATAAAGCTCTGCTGATCGTTCAACACAGTTTAACAATAAATGGTCTTAAACTCTGGAGTTAATGTAGAACTGCTAATTCACCCTTTAACCCTGAAGATCAGCGCAGACTGCTGGTCACCATAGCAACACAGACAACAATCTTCCACAGTTAGTAGCTAACGAAACAACAAAGAGAAAGATTCGAAACATCGATAATTTGGAGACAAATTGACTTATTTGTGTCCATAATCACTCCAGCTGGTTTCCTGATACGTTTAATCTGCAACGAGAAACTGACAAACACTAAAAAGTTGTGTAGATGAAGTCAGGTTCTCAGTCGCCAGCTGCTTGTTCAAGTTCTCCCGTTCCACCTTAAATTGTGCAGGAGTTACATTCTGGCACCTCAGGCACCATTTAAGGTGGAACGGGAAAATTTGAAGAAGAAGCTGGCAAATGAGAAGTGACTTCAGCCTCATAAAAAATCTAAGATTTAGAGACATTTTATAAAAAGCTATTTTTGTGGAAACGTTTCCTGTCGGAGATGCGAGAAAAGCAGCTATATCTGAGCTAAAGCTTGAAACAGAGCAAAGTAAGTCTGTGTTTTCGTTTAAATTTTTTATCCTGTACTAGTACTTCAACACATACTGAGGCATATTCACAGCCAAGATGGTAAAACTGACACAAAAAGTTGTGGCTCTTCTCAACATTTGGGTTGCCGACCCCCGACCTATTATATTATGGTATGTAACATGGCTTCAAATCAAAGCTCTTCCATGGGTACAGGAGTAACTTCATCACACCAATATGAACTAACACACCTTCCAATATGGAGAACAAAACTTTGCTTTTTGGGAAACGGAATTTAAAGAAACAAAGAATACAATTTTCTCTGGTAAAGAACAAAGAACTGCATTTATTTCTTTCTTGTCCAATATGAGTGGTCCAAAATACCTACTAGAATTTTTTTGAAAAATCCAAGGAAGACAGTTTAATAAATAATTCTAACTCTCAACATGTAAACTGTAGTCAAAGGACTTCTGAATTACAACATCATATGGTAGTACTGTAATTGGTATTATGTTAGTTTCAATGTCTATGTGTGCAAAAGAAAACCAAAAAACCCAGCTGCTAACAGTGATCAAGCTAACCAAGCTAATGACCTGAACAGTCTTGGTAGACATATGCTAAAACTGCATGTAGAGTACTCTAAAGAGTGGAATATGCATTGTTTAATAACTCTGTCGATGGAAAAATGCTACAAAATATTAAAATTTTTCTGAAATCTAGTTTTTGATTACTAATTGAGTATGAAAAGCCCATAAAATAGTTTACTATATATATATATAACTGGCCATTTCAATTATTATTTAAATCAAATTTGATGTACTCCTGCTATAGGTGATGTAAAAACACCCAGGATACAAAATAGTGCTTATTGAGAAGAATGAAACATTCTAATTCAGGGGTAGAAAAGAAAAGAAAGGCATCCATCACACCTCTTTCAGCAACCAACTTCAAAAGGTCCTTAAAGGTCCTTTTTTATCACTAAGGTAAACAAAAGGTCACATTTGATGCATTCGAGACAAATATCAGTGATTAGGTCTCTCTGGATTAACTGTTAGCATCCTCTGGGAATCAAGTGTGTTCATATCAGGTTCAGTCACACCACTACAGGTGGGAACCACCACTTGAGCTGTCATTGCATTTGTCATCACTGGTAGATTTTGTAGGGCTGGGCATCTAACTACATTCAAAATGGCACCATCGGGACTCAACAACAGTTTACTAGGGGTATGGACAGTGTGTGCACCTGGGACCTGCACTGGAGCCTTGCCTTGAACTTGTGATGTGTTGGTTATGACAACTGGCATTCTCATAATTCCAGGTTGCACACCTCTACCTGCCATTCTAACTGTGTTAACAGATGGAAGTACTGTTGCAATGGGAGTGGCCTGACAACTACTGATGGAACCCCCGATTGGTGGAACAGTTGCCACAGGAAGGGTCTGCATCCTTGATATTGTGCTACTCATGGGTGGCACTGTAACCATCGGGGGTGTACGAGAAATCACTGGTGATAGGACTGACGTTAGCTGGGGTTTTGGTGGTGCACTTACAAGTCCCGTTTGAACAAGAGCTGGTGTTGCCATGCTCTGTGAACCTCTCTGTGATTGCGCAGAAACTGCAACAATTTCTTTTTTTCGGCAGCTGGGATCACCATGTGACGGCACAACAGAGTGTCCTTTACCTTCAGGAGCTGAGGAGGACGGAAGCCTCACAATATTGGTCAAGCTTTGTTGTCCAGATGACATGACAGTCCCTAGCTGAGTTATTTGTGCAAAGGCAGTAGAATCAGTAGAGGACAGTGGGGGTCTGACTGTGGTTAAGGGTTGATGAAAAGGGACAGATGTTCCAATTTTTGTTGTGGTGCATACTGGCAGCCTAACAGGCATACGATGAGATTGCATCACCGGTGCTACCATTCTTGGACCTTGAACAACTGGTGTAGGGGGAAGAAGGTTTGAAGTCCCTGCCCCCCTTGGGACAAGAGGCAAAGGACTTGTCCCCACTGGTCCTGCAGGGCGCATGGCAGGGCTGGAGATGAAAAGAACATGACTACCAGGTCCAAGGCCTTGAGCAGGTACCACAAATCTCATGTTGTTGATAAACAGTTGGGTTCCAGGAGCAAGTGGAGCATTGGTATTGATCAAAACTTTTTCCTGTACTGTGGTGGTACCACTGATGGGATTTATAGGAGCTCTGACCACAGAAGTCAAACCTGGTTGAGGTGCTGGAGAAGTGGTGTCTGATATGTGTGTTGCTGTTGTGGTAATCAGAGTAAGAGGATGAGAGACCCTTGGAACCGACGTCGCAAGTTTGATAGTAGAGGAAGCTGTAGTAGGGGATGTAGTAACCCATGGCTTGCCAGTCATCAGACCTCCTGGCAAAGTAGTGTCTTTGTTAATGAGGCTTCCCGATGAAAGACTGGCTAAGTTTGGAGCTGAACTGCCAATTACCAGTTCTGATTTTGTATTTAGAATGTTTGATATTGGGACTGTGGATGACATATTCTTTTGATCTACTGCTGAAAGGAGCGCAGAGGAAGCCATATGCCCAATGCCATAAGTTGAAAATGTGACAGTTTTGCCATCTGTGGATCCAGTAACTTTTACAGGAGCTTTGATACTCAGTGATGGACAGTTAGTCGCAGGAGGGTTGCTTTTTTGAACAAAAATGAGCCCACTGGAAGAAGTTGCAAGTACACTGGAGGCTGTCACAGACGTGACTTTTGCGGCAGCATCAGTGGGTGGCACTAGATTCTTGCTTGTGAGTGTTTTCTCGTTTACAATCCTAGCTGTTAACCCTGAAATATTGATACCCTGGACTTTAGTTAAAGTACCGGTAGTTGTGCTACCAGTGGTTTGGACAAAGTTCGGTCTAACTTTCATACCTTCAACTGGTAATGAAGTAGCTGCGGCAGTGCTGGACTCAGATGTTATAGATCCTTCAGGAATGGTAACAGTAGAGCAGGCAGAAGCAGACTGACTCATAAACAAGACCCTTGACCCGGAAACAGCAGAAGGAGCAGGAGCAGTAGTGACATTCGCTGTTGATGAAGGGATATTTGTTGTCGGTGTGACCAGGAAAACTTTTGGGAAGGTGGACTGTTCTGGCTCAACACTGCTTGCTTGACACCTCTTCAGAGGAGATCGGATTATACTATTAAAGGTAGTGGTCTGAGGGATGCCTTGGACAGACTTCACAGTTGAGGAAACATCGCTTTGGGAAGGTGCTGGAAGTAGTGAGTTAACGCTGATTAATGTCTGGGCAGTTTTTGTTTGATTGTCAAGAACAGATGTTACAGGAATAGGTGGGTCAGTGTTCAAAGTTACCGCACCAGATGTTCTTTCAACCAGAAGGGATGGATTCACTGCACCGACATGTTTTAAAGGTGACTGGGGTGAAGATTTCAAGGAGTTACCCCTGTCATTCAGAGGAGAGATAATAGGCAATAATTTGGCAGTGGTAGTTGCAATTTGTGCTTGAGCAGTGGATGTTGCCATCGCGGATGACCTCGAGACTAGAAAAGCTTGAAACTGGGGAGGCATGGTGAACACAGGGCTCGATGGTAAAGAACCTGCTCCACTCTGGTCTGACGTCTGAACCTTCACCACTCCTGTGTTTCCTCCTCTCGTTGTGACAAGGATGGACTGTGAGTCTCGGATGCACATGGTCTTCAACTCCTGCTTAGCATCACATTTGTTGGGATGTGTAGATGGTAAAGTAGGGGTAGGGGATCTATTTAGCGTTGAGTGAGGTTCAGTAGTCTTTTTAGGGCTGGGCGAAGCTCGGCAAGATGTTAACTTCAGCAAACTGGGTGAAACAGAAGGTGAAGGTGTTTTCACAATGCTAGTATCTTTTAATGGAGCCACTTGCTGGACAGGAATCTTGTTTTCAGGCACAGTGAACCCAAGAGTATTGGACAAAACTGTAGTAGTCTTAGAAGTGACGGATGGCTGCTGAGTTCTTGTTTCCTCGGTTTGAATGAGCAAATTTGAAGGAAGAATAATAATCTGCTGCATTAATTTCTCCTCTGTTTTCTGGTCCATAACTGGCTGCATGGAAAACTTGAGTGGGGTGCCATCTTTCCTAAGCAAACTCAAACTGTCTGACATGTTATATACAACCTGCACTGGTGCAGATGACGTAATGGGCATCTGTGTCTGTGTGGTGACTGGTGCTGGCAGCGGCGTCAACTGACAGCTTGTTGTGGGTTTGGTTGGCGATACAGCTGCAGATACTGTCTTATTTGGCAGTCGCAGAGCCTGTGCCATCACAGTAGCCTGTGGATGACTCATTAAGGTCACTTTGTTTCCAACACTCTTGGCCAGCAATGCCTGGATTGGCTTACAGTGTCTCTGAAAAGTACCCACAGGTGCAGTGATCGCCGATGCTCTTTCTGTGGTTAGAGGGTTTGCTCTGCTTGAATTATGGCATGTAACCTCAAATTGAGGTTCAGAAATCACAGAATCATCAACAAACTTCCCTCTTTTACTAGGACTAAAGCCCTCATCTAGGCCACAACTTTGGCGATGCTTTAAGCTTTGAGTCAAAGGTCCAGACTCACTCAAAGATGCAATACTTTCTTGTCCACGGATTAGGCGTCCTAATGACTCATTCCCATGCTGATTTTCACATTCTGCGAAAAACAAACCATAATAAGCGATTTGGATAAAGTTTCAAGAGCATTAATTAGGCTAATTTTGCAAACAAATGGTAGCATTTTTCAATTAAGCAGCAAACGCCAGAAAACATACTTAAGAGAAAATATGCCAGTGAAAGAATTTTAGAAACAAAGGCTACGTTTACACAGCAGGTCAAAGTGGCCCAAATCCGATCTTTTTCCTCATATGTGACACAGATGTGTGTCAGTGCGAACAGATAAACAGACTTAATCTGACATTTTTAATTACGATTTGAGACGCTTTCTTATGTGGTACTGAAATCCGATACGTATCCGATCTGCGGGAACACAACTCAGTCTGAACAGCCAGATCGGAATTCATGTGACTTTTATGTCAATCCAACTCAACAATCATCATCATTTCGCGCTGCTGAGACTCAAAAACATTTAGGCTGATGTTTCTGTGCAAAAAATTAGAAGAGATTTATCGCAACCGCTCCGTGTTCGAAGAGATTTTGAAAGCAATGGCTGAATGTGGCAGTACGAGAACGAGGCTGCAGCGTCAAAGAACAGTTAAAAAGTCTGAAAGCAAAGTTTAAAGAATCCGAGGACTCAAACCAAAAAAAGTGACCGTGGCCGAATAACGTGCCTTTTTTTAATGCAGGCTCGAACAACATTGCCAGCCATTGGAACTTCATGAGGCTCCTGGTGAAGATGAAGCTGATTCTCCGGGAGCGACTGGCGTTCGTTGGCGGTCGTGATTGTTTACCTCTGGATGAGCCGTGAAGCAGCGTGACGCTCTGTTCTTTTGCGCATGTGGGTCAGTTTAGGAGCTGATCTGTTCAGACTGATGTCGCATACAGATGACATTTAAAAGATAATGTGAACAGCCAAACAAAAAAAAAAATCACTTTTACCTGCCGTGTGAACGTAGTCAAAGAGAAACGATCTGAGATTTCTTTCAACCACCAATGATTAGAAAAGCATTTGTTAAAAAGGTTTGCACCTGTCACCCCAGAGTCTCCCTTCAAAGTTCTTTCGATTCTGTCTTCGTCCTCCGATTCTCTACTAGTCTCTGCAGAAGAGCCTTTTTTACATGCACTTCCGTCTCCTTCATCTGTCATGCACTCCTCTCTAACGAAGTTTTCATATTCAGGATGCTTTTTGAAATCGTCGCTCTCCTTTTTCAGCCTGGCTCTGATGGGGGAACAAAGTCAAGGTTGAATTTAACAATGAAACTGAGACATACGTTTCAAATTCTGACAATTAAATGATTCAGATCAGCAAACAATCTGAACAACCTTTAACAGCACTGACTTACTCAGTTACTACACATTACATTATTATTAGTCTTGGAAACAATTTAAATCGCCTCTTTCTATCTTAACACTTAATTCACAGGACAGCAAACATGAAACCAGCAGAAAAATAAATATTTAACTAAATGTGATGTAATAAAGGATGCTTACCTGTTCCTTTGGAAAGCCTTGAGCAATTTGGGTTCCCATGGTAACAGCTCATTTAGCAGTCTTATAAGAGTAATGTGAAGCTCTTTCACTGACTCCCTCTTTAAGTACCATCTTCCCTGAAATGTACCATCCAACAACACTTTAATGAGGTGCCAACAGTGTTTATGTATCTCTAGTTGTGTCACACTACGTTGAAAATGTAAAATTTAGTGATATTGAGGACATACAGTACTGTGCAAACGTCAAAGACCACCCTTTGGTTTTTTAATTTCCGGTCAAAACGGCCAAAAAGGAAAAAAGGAGGAGGCATATATTTAACCAGAGATTACACAGAAACCTCAACAGCTAAATATGACGCGTGTCCACTCTTGTCTTTTGGCACAGCTTTCACTGTTTCATTAGATTTGTTGTCAGTTTTTCCAATGCAGTCGGCAGGGATATCATTCCACACTTTCACACAAGTTCAGTCTTAGAAGTTGGTTGTATTTTCTTCTTTTTATGAGCCCAATAACCCCAATTACAATGTTCAGATTCATCAATCCAGAAAAACACATTTCAGATGTCAATTTCCTTCTTTTTTATCTGTATCCTTTTCTCAGTGAGGTTCTTCTTGATCAGCTACACATCCTTTCAGACCCACAGCGCTGAGTCGTCTCCTCACAGTGGAAGGATGGACAGAAACACCTGTGGATGTTTTCAGATCTGAAGCAGCTTGATTTTCTCCTCTCTCTCAGAGATGAAAGCTTTAAGTGCTGTTTATCTGATGGGGGGCAGTTTTGGGGTCGACCAGCTCTTCCAGGTGGTTGTTAGGAGTCTCATTTTGTCTGGAGCTTTTAATCATTTTTATCTTATATCTAATACAGTGTATCCACTATATTTATTTATACATAATTATTGCCTTTATTATTAATATTTATTATTTCTTATCAGACCAGTATGAGATCATCAAACGTTTGATTGTTTTTGTACCCGACTCTGACTGTAAACAAGTAGGGTAAACTGGTGAGCGACTCAATCTGAACAGACTTCTCTAACAGCCAATGAAAACTTGGAGAACGAAAGAAGAAATCACAACAAGTGAAAAAGAAAAAAGGCGAAAAGTCACTCACACACTTGGCGAGGCTTTTTAATGAACTGAGTTTAAGGCAGAATTGAGTTTATGTACGTCTAAAACTGTAAAACTACAAGACTGATAATATCTTTACATCCATGACCTTCACTTAAAGATGATTACCTGCTGCATCTTTACTGTGTCAGTGCAAACGGCAGAGAAAACAGCAGCAGTCGCCTCACGTTTGTTTATCTTCATCTCCTAATAATGGGAGAACATGCGAATTTGCTTGACTTGGGTTCGTGTTAGCAACAACTTAGGGTGTACTCACACTATGCCTGGTTGCTTTGTACCATGCCTGAGCATGATTTTCCCTCCTCCCCCTCCCCCTCTGGCCTGCACTCACATTGTGCTTAATGTTCCAGTCCTGAACTCACTTACGTCATCACAATGTGAGTTTTTTTTTTTGAAGAAAAGCACTTTCACAAAGCCCAAAGACGTTCAAGGCAACCAGGCATAGTGTGAGTACAGACCTGAATAAACGAGTGTGGTCTTTGACTTCTGCACAGTACTATACTTAATTTCTTTCATTAATGTAATGCATAACCACACTGAAAAGATGCCAAAAGTGGCATCAAAAATGGACAGAAAATGAGTTGTAGATATTTCCACAGCACTAATCTATATTATTATACAATGCATTCATGTAAATATGACAATCCAGTCACTGTGTGTGTGTGTGTGTGTGTGTGTGTGTGTGTGTGTGTTTGTATTTTCCCTCTCTTACTAACACATCTCTTTTTGGTGCTCTCCAACTCGTCCAGCTCATCCTCCGTTTTGCTGATGAGATCCCTCAGCTCATCTAAACTGGTGCAGACCAACTACAAAGGGGTAAAAAGAGAGAAGGATTATAGAGAAAAGCAAAGAAAGGAGGAATAGAAGAGAAAGTGACAAATGAAAGTGAAGATTGGAGATAAAGAAATTTGTCCGTAAAAGTTTAAACAGGTAATGCGATCTTACATACATTAATCAAGAGAGCCATAATGCAGTATCCCCTGTACATGTGTAAAATATCCTTTTAATGTAAAGATATTTTGCTTTTATATTTATAATATTTATAATGTTTATGATGTTAATTTTGTGAAGGATAGAGTTTATATTTTTTATCTTTAGTATTATAAACCGATCAGGCATAACATTATGACCACCTCCTTGTTTCTACGCTGACTGTCCATTTTATCAGCTCCACTTACTATATAGGTGCACTTTGTAGTTCTACAGTTACGGACTGTAGTCCATCTGTTTCTCTGATACTTTGTTAGCCCCCTTTTACCCTGTTCTTCAGTGGTCAGGACCCCCATGGACCCTCACAGAGCAGGTACTGTTTGGGTGGTGGATCATTCTCAGCACTGCAGTGACACTGACGTGGTGGTGGTGTGTTAGTGTGTGTTGTGCTGGTACAAGTGGATCAGACACAGCAGTGCTGCTGGCGTTTTTAAACACCTCAGTGTCACTGCTGGACTGAGAATAGTCCACCAACCAAAAATATCCAGCCAACAGCGTCCTGTGGGCAGCGTCCTGTCACCACTGATGAAGGACTAGAGGATGACCAACACAAACTGTGCAGCAGCAGATGAGCTATCGTCTCTGACTTTACATCTACAAGGTGGACTGACGAGGTAGGAGTGTCTAATAGAGTGGACAGAGAGTGGACAGTGTTTAAAAACTCCAGCAGCACTGCTGTGTCTGATCCACTCAGACCAGCACAACACACACTCACACACCACCACTACGTCAGTGTTACTGCAGTGCTGAGAATGATCCACCACCCAAATAGTACCTGCTCTGTGAGGGTCCATGGGGGTCCTGACCACTGAAGAACAGGGTAAAAGGGGGCTAACAAAGTATCAGAGAAACAGATGGACTACAGTCCGTAACTGTAGAACTACAAAGTGCACCTATATAGTAAGTGGAGCTGATAAAATGGACAATGAGCGTAGAAACAAGGAGGTGGTCAGAATGCTATGCCTGATCGGTGTAGTTATATTGTCTGTACAGTAATGAGTAACAAAATGTAACCTTTTTAAATAATAAACAAGGTTAATTACTTGTTAATTCTCTTCTTGTTACTTCTTTTCTTTGTGCCTTGCTCTCCCTCTGCTGCCATAGCACTGTGAATTTCCCCGTTGTGGGACTAATAAAGAATTATGCTGTGGTAATAGCAGACTGTGTTTGTTAGTCATACTTAACTCTTACCTTAAACGTTGGCTCCACTGGGAGCTGTGGAGGCTCCGTCTCTTTTCCCCCAGTTTTAGAGTCAAACTTTCTTCCTACAGACAGACAGAATTTCAGACCGTGACTGACATTTAAGAAAAGTGTTTCTGACATCCTCTGTTGAACCACTGAAATAGGCTGCATCAAATGCCACAATGTAACATGAGACAATCAATGCAAGATGATAAGTCGCTATGTAGGTTAATCCCTTGCCATGGGCACTGTAGTCAAAACACATTGCAAAAGTGCCTGTGATTTGACAGATTTGTCAGACCTAGAGCTGGGCGATATGGCAAAAATACAACATTGCGATATTTCACGAATTTTTCATGATACACGATGCCACAATATTTATTTTTTAAGACATTTGATCAGTTGGAACAGAGAAAAAAGAGCCAGTAGTGCTACATTTTAAAAACACTTTGAAAACTGGAAGGACTAGTTTTTCTCTCGTTATAGTGAAACATGCAGCTTGTCAGTGTCTAATGACGAAATACACGACATGTTTAGAAAAGCAGACTGTACTGTACTGTAACAAAGACCCTGTTTACACCTGTGTATCCTGATGAGATTTTGGACTCATGTATTTACACTTAGTCAAATGTGTCTGCAGTTAGTTGGACTGAAATCTGATTGCTCTGTGGGATGGAATATGCAAATCAGTTGCGTGACAAACAGTTACCAATCATTTATCTCTGCAGCCTTTTCCTGTGCTATGCTTGTTGTGTAGTTTTGGTTGTACTGGCAGAGTTTTCGGCTGTACCGGGAGCGGTTTCGGCTGTACTGGGATGGGTTTAAGTTGTACTGGGAGGGATTTGGGCTGTACTGGGAGGAGTTTCAGTTGTACTGGGAGGGGTTACGGCTGTACTGGGAGGAGTTTCAGCTGTACTGGGAGGAATTTTGGCTGTAGTGAGAGGGGGTTTGGCTATACTGGCAGGAGTTTCAGTTGTACTGGGAGAGATTTTGGTTGTTGAGAGAGATGGATGTGTTTACGTTGCTGTAACATTGTGGCTCAAATGTGTCTCAGATCTCCTGAAGAGGTCTTAGATATTTGAGTTTGAGTGATTTGAGTGATCAGACCCACATTTATTTGTTTTACATGCACCTTGGGCGCGTTTACACTTGCATTTTTATGTGGCCTCATCCAGATATAATCCTGATCCTCGAGATGCATCAAGTGACCAGATGTGAACGGGGTCATAATTTATCACGGTAACAATATACGTCTCACACTGCCCAGCTGTAGTCAAGCCGCTCAATGGGAATATCTAAGCATTTACAGCATTCATTAGTCTTGCAGGGCCAGGCATGATTGCGTAACGAGAACACTAGTGATGGCAGAAATGAGCGATTAAACATTTCGATTAACAAGCCTGTTGTTGGACGATGGATGTACGTCAGCATGGCTGAAAAGTCCCTCTGTAAAGCCTCAATGTGAAAACATTACATGCAAAATTAAAACAATAAATCTCAATTAAGAGATTTAGTGTTTTCATTCTTTTTGTTTTTTAATTCTGAGAGATATAATTGTTTTAATTCTTAATTAATTTCATTAATTCAATAAAATGTTTTAATCATGTTTTCGTATCACAGATGCAAATCTCTTAATCATAATTTAGAAATCTTATAGCATCTTATCTCCATTTAGGAAATCTTAACCTGCTCGATCAAAGTCGACAGTCAGCTGTCATGTCTGTTGCCTAGCAACCACACAGCTGAAACGTAAACACATCAAAATAATGTTAAAAATGTGAGTTAAGCTGCCGTTACTGATGTGAAAAAGGTCAAACAGAACTAAAGTGGGATAAACAGTGAGTTGTGAATACTGTGAGAGCGCCCCCTGCTGTTTATCAGAGCATCGCCGCTGCCCAGTTTCAGTCTCCATTTCCCAAACGCTTTAGCCGAGCGCTAACGTTACTCCTCCTAATAAACAGACACACGTTCAGCTCCGTCTCCTCATTATTCACCACCATCACTGTAATATTTCATCATCAACATTAACACACGAAGGTGATCAGAGGGGCGGTGGAGATCGAGTCTGCAGCGTCTGAGATCTTTAAAACGCAGAGTTAGAAAAGAAAATCATCTCACAGTGAAAGCAGCGTTTTACAGTAGAGATAAATGGAGCTCATTATGCTGGTAGTGAACTATGCTGCTGACTCAGCTGCCTAAAAACCATAGAAACGGACCTTAAACAGAAGTGAGGACCCTGTTGGGGTCTGGAGTTCATGATGAGATTATGAAGTTAGGAACTGTTATTCTGTAACAGATACGGTCCAAATTTCAGTCCAGACTGAAGTCGCCATGGAGACTAAACAGATCAGATTCCAGAGTTAAGACATTTTTGTTACGACCACACAAGTATAGAAAGACATGAGCATGTACAGTGTGTGAAACGTTGAATAAAAATCACTGTAATTAGCTTTAGATTGTATTTTTATTTGCGTTACTACTGTTTTCTTGTCTTTTTCAACTCAGCAATATTGTGATGAATATTGTGTTTCATGAAATATTATGATGTTATATTTTTGCCACAACACCAACCCCCAATGCAGAGGGTCTTTAAAAAGGTTTAGGGAGGCCAAAGAGGTTCTTCTATCCCTCTAAAGAACCTTTTTTGACCCATCTACTGTAAAATAGAATCAGCAAAGTGAAACAATCAAACAACATTTTCTCACCTAACTTGCGTTTTTTCCTTTTATCCCTCCTTTTCATGGTGGCAGTGGCAGTTTTGAGCAGGGTTCTTTTGGCTGCTCTGGCCTGCCGAAATGTTTTTAGCCCCAGTTTGCCTGTCCCTGCCTTGACCCCAACTGACTTCTCTTTCTTTTTCTTTCTTTTCTTTTTTTTGGAGCGCATTCTTCCCGTCTCAACCCCCGAGCGGCCCGCCTGCCGAGAAAACACGGAGCCGGTTCTGTCGGCTTCGGCTTTGAAACAAAAGCATGAACGATGCTCAGGTTTAGTGTCAGAGTCCATAGAACACTTTGGACAAGGACCCCTGTCCCGACGAGGGGGTCCGTCTTTTTGTGCGGCATTCGGGATGAACTGCAAGGAAGGCTGTAAAGTGTCTGTGCTCAGAAAGTTGGCAGGAAGCTTCCCTTTGTAGCAGTTTTCCCCCACCGTGAGGCAGCGTTCACAGTCAGAAACAACTTCTGCCACCTCGTTTTTGTCTTTCTGTTCTTTTAACTTAACTCTCTGCTCTACCTTCAAAGGTTCTTCCTTGATGCCTCCAGGACTTGGCAGTTCCTCTTTATGTGGGAACAGGAATCTTTTGGGGCCTTTTTGATCTGGCTCACTTTCTTCCAAACTAGCATCCATGTCTCGAAGCGAATCGTCTTCACTGATCCACGGCTCGAGAGCCCCACTGGTGGTCACAGCAGAGATGTCACTGGACCCCCTGGTGGCCACTTCGCACTCTAGTTTCTTCACGTGGAATGGCGGCAAGGGGAAGCTCAGCGCTGCACATGGACTTTGGCGATAAATCCGCAAATCCGCACCACAGAAATGTGGGAAGTGTATGTAGGCATTCTCTTGGCTATCGTAGCCCAGGATGGACTCTCGGCACTCGTGAATGGGCTGCCCAAGGACAGCGTCCTGTACATCCTTCTGCGTTTCGTATACATTATCGCAAAGGCCTTTGAGCAACCAGACACGCTGGTTGAAGGGCAGGAGGTGAAAGGCCGTACTGTCCAACGGACTTGTCTCACCCAAGGTCCAGAAAAATTGGTGGCAAAGTCCTAGCTGTTCCACACGGGCCACCTGGTCCTCGGCCCGGCCCACCTCCTGGTACCAGCCCAGAACCTTCTGCCTGAGCTCCGCCTCCCAACGGCGGTATGGTAGGGAGGGACGCCTGTGGAGCGTCGCCCTGCGATGGGGCTGGCACAACAGGGAGGTCATGACCTTGGCCAGGAAAGAGCTACAGCGGGGCATGAGCAGACAGCGCTCCAGCTCGAAGAAAACTATTTCGGGCAGGTTAAGAGCCGTCTGGGCCAGGCACAGAAAATGACCAATGGCAGGAAGTTCCCACATTGTGCTGATGGGCCACGGCTCAGCCAGGGAGAGGAGGCAGCGTTCCCACTCCTCCACCTCTTTGGCCGACGCCTCCTCAGCCTCTTTCTTCTCAAGCTCTCGCTGCCTAAATGACAAAAGGCAACAGTTGTAATCATGAGCATCATCATACGTAAACAATGGCCGATATGGCTTCTACTGTTTCATTTATAAAGCCTCTATAATGTTCATATGATCCACACAGTCATTCTGACAGACTGTAATACACTACAGGAAGTGTAGGGGGCGATATGGCTTCTACTGTTTCATTTATAAAGCCTCTATAATGTTCATATGATCCACACAGTCATTCTGACAGACTGTAATACACTACAGGAAGTGTAGGGGGCGATATGGCTTCTACTGTTTCATTTAAAAAGCCTCTATAATGTTCATATGATCCACACAGTCACTCTGACAGACTGTAATACACTACAGGAAGTGTAGGGGGCGATATGGCTTCTACTGTTTCATTTAAAAAGCCTCTATAATGTTCATATGATCCACACAGTCACTCTGACAGACTGTAATACACTACAGGAAGTGTAGAGGGCGATATGGCTTCTATTGTTTTATTTAAAAAGCGCTCTATAAATGTTCAAATGTTATTATTTTTGCATGACCATTTTCCAACCTCTTTCATTGCCTTAAAATTAAACAGGCCGTTTTTGAGACTGAAATGCGGTCAAGACCATAAATATTTAGAAAGTCAACCAAGTTGACAACAAAGTAGAGCATATTGGTGTGGAAATTAAATACTGATTATGAGCTCAAAGTGCAGACATTAAGCTGTAATTTGAGGGGTTTTTTTATATCCAAATGAGATGAATGGTGAGAAAATTACAACTATTTTCACACACAGCCCTATATGGATGTAAAACAACACTGGGGACTTTTTTCCCACAGCAAGATGTGCGTTATTCTCTCATTACTTCACATACAAGCAGATTACCACCTCATCTCTCAAGCATGGTGGAGGTAGTTTTATGGCTTGAGCATGTATGGCTGATAATGGAACTGATTCCTTTGTATTTACTGATCATGTAACTTCTAATAAAAGCAGCAGGTTTAACTGCTTCTTGGGAGGAAACCAAGCACCTGGTGATGTTTATGGATTCCAGACCTCAGGCAGTCATTGACTTGCAATTAAGTATTAAAAATGATCATTTAATTAATGACTACATTAGTTTGTCCAATTACTTTTAAGCCCCTAAAAATGGGGGGTCTGTGTGTGAAAATGGTTGTAAATCCTACAACTAGTCTGTTCAAATTAAAGCTGAAAGTCTCCACATCATTTAATTAACTCCAGTATGCTGGTAGAGAGCTAAAATAGCAATAACCTTGTCAATGCCCAAATATTTATGACTGTATGTAAACACTGTGTTGTGTCCAGTCCAGGCTGAATGAATCATAACTTCAGTGTAAGTGGGTGGAGCAAAACTGCTGCAGGCGGAGTGGGCGGGGCATATGTAAATGTGTTGTTTTTTGTCACATCACAGAAAAATTAACTCAAAACGGGCAATTTTTGCAAAGTAGTTTCCATATACAGACTCTATGGACTGGAGAGCGAACGGTATGTTTTAAAACTTTAACAGCGTTTACACAAAAAAGATGGTTCTTCAAGGGTTCTTTAGTAAGACAATGGTTCTATATTAAACCTTTTTCATAAGGGTTCTGTATAACACCAAAAAAGGGTTCTGCTGTTGTTATGAAATCAAGCTTGTAACATAGAAAAACCCCTTTTTTCAAAAAGGTTCTATATAGAACCATCTACAGCACTATCCCCATCAATCTGAAGAACCATGTAAACTTTATTCATGCAAAGGGTTTTTTGTGTTCATGAAAAAAACCATTAAAAAACCCCTGGAGAACCATCTTTTATACTACATCAAATTCTTGTAATTAAAAAAAAAATAAGTGTTCAGTTCTCCATGATAAATAGTCATTAGCTGCTGCCTGTTTTTCATTCCCAAATAAATGAAACACTGATCCAGGTTCTGCAGTTGTTCTTCCACAGTGATGTTCTTCCTACATCACAGATACCTTTTCTCCTCCTTGGCTCTCTGCTGTTCCTCCAGTCGGAGGGCCTGCAGCATGATGGACTCGCAGCCGCCCACCGTAATGGCTGCCAGGCTCCGTGGCACAGACCGCCGCCTGGTCGAGGTGCCAGCTGGACCTTTCTCGTCTTCAGTGCCGAAGCGCCCCCCAGAGGTCACTGCCAAGGTCGTCTTTTCTCTCAGGGTCCTGTTGAGTATGAATGAATGAACAAACATGACAAAACTACTAACTGGCTCTGTGATTGGATACATTTTCATACTGTTGTCAAGGATCTTACCTTACTCTGATATTTACACTTCCTTAGGGCTGGACAATTAATCAAATTTTATTTATAATTCCGATTTTTGCTTCCAAAAATTATGAAAACAAGGTAACTGGGATAAAATTATTATTGTGCCACATTCTGCTTCACAATAATGCTCTAGTTTTGTCTTGTGTTATAAATCCAGGAGTTTAAGTCATAAAACAGTGTCTCAGTCATCAGGCAGTGAATTCATAACCATTTCATGTAGGAACTTTCTGTGAGGGAGCTTTTAGAGGGGGACGTCTGGTTCCTATCACCACCACTGTGAACAGTTCTGACTCGGTAAGTTTCTCTAGAACAGAGCATTTCACACCAAACCACTCTGAACCGCTCTGTTTACATATATTATCTTATTATCCATCATCATTATGCCACTGCTTACCTTGACAGTAGTGTCAGCTTTTGCTCCAGAATGATCTCCAGTTTTTGAGCCTGTTTGGAGATCCAGTGGTCGACGCCGTGAAACCTGTAGCAGTTCTCCAGCATGAGGCGAAAATCGGCCACAAACTCGGTAATACTTTCATACTCCCGGTTGACAAACTTGTCGTCTATCCTTTTAAAGCTCATATCGTTTCCTCCTCGCTCTCCAGGGCCATTCGGATGCCAGAATGGCGCAGTCAGAGCTTTGTGTTTGTCCGTGAGGAAACTGTGGAAGATCCTGTAGGCCTGCTGCACCTCCGGTGTGAGGTCTTCATCATCATCGTCGTCGTCATCGTCGCCATCATCGACCGTGTTGGACGAACAGGCGTCGGGCGAAGACCGGCTGTCCTCGATCTCCATCATGACACAGTTTGAAACCACGTTCTCAGAAGAACCGTTGCACAGCCCGTCTGAAACCTGCACACATTCATCTCCTCGACATTTCGATCCAGACTGCGATGCACTCCTACAAAAAGGAGGCAGCTTGTCCTGGAGATGACTGTGGAAAAACAAATGCTTGTAGTCGTCACTGACGCCTGCCATGTCTTTGCGGCCCGGCGCGGTGTGACTCAGTGCTTCTGGAGGGCAGCTTGGGTCATTCTCGCTTGTGTCGGGACGCACTTTCATATTCCTCTAGATCAGCCCCGTTCATGGGTGCAGAGTCAGGACGTCATCTGAAGCCAGACGAAGCCATCGTCGCTCCTAAAATAAAGAAAACTGTGTCGGTGATGTCTTAGCTAACTGAAGCCAAATCTAATACACCAACATGATTTACAGGTGGGCGATATGGCAAAAATATAATATTATAATACTTCAGGACAATTTCATAATACCCCGCATCATGATATTTCATTAAAGAGTTGGAACAGACAAAAAAGTACCATTTTGCAATACGACTAACCTTATAAAAGATTTATCAGTGGTTTAAATTAATCAATCAGGTCATAAACACGTTAAAGGTGCAGTGTGTAAAATTTAGGGGGGCAAAAAATTAACAATAGTAAACAAAATCATGTTTTCTTTAGTATATAATCAGCTGTAACTCGCTATAGTTATCGCTGTGTTTTCGTTATCTTTAAATGAGCCCTTCAGATCTACACAGGAAGCGGCTTCTCTTCAACAGAGGCCGCCATGTTGCACCGCCATGTTTCTACAGTAGCCCATAATAGACAAACCAAACTCTGACTCTAGGGGGCGCCTTTCGTGCTTTTACGCTGAAGCAGCAGCTTGAATTTGGTGGCGCTGTAGCTCTGGTTCAAAGACGTGGAAAGAAGAAGAATTAGTGGTTGCTGACGGTGCTGGCTGAACATTTTGTGTTGTGACAAGATCCAGAACCCAAATTTTGACAAATGGAGGATCAGACTTATTATTTAACACTAGAAAAAGTGAGGGATGGTGAATCCTCACCACCAAAAAAGAGAAACCATGGAGAAGCAAAACGAAATTAGGACAGACGACGGCAGAAAACCTGACGGTTCTACTACACGCTTGGAAAGGGAGGGGTGAGGGAGGGGGATTTAGCTGGCTGCAATCTGCAACTTGACCACTAGATGCCACTAAATCTTACACACCGCACCTTTGAAAAGTCATTAATAGGCACAAATAAATGATAACACAAATAAAAAGGGCAACAGTGAGATGTTACGTTACAAATATGGGTTTCTGACAGGTTTAATGACAGATGGAGACAAAGAAAAACAGCAAGATCTGATGTTTAACAGTAAAGACGAACGTATTTACATATTTTACATGCACTAATTAAATTTAATTTAATGCGGCTCTCTGTGTAATGAAATGTGCAGTTTTATTAATATATGAGACATTTTCAGAAAAACATTTTGTGATGCAACTCATGATAACGATAAATATCGTCTTATTATCGTCCCACCCCATAATGATTATGACTACAACTAATTACATCCCAACTACAAAGCCAATTGAGATAAAGGAAGCATAATGCAAACACTCTTTTACATATTTACATATTTATCAGGTACTATTTGGGTGGTGGGTCATTCTCAGCACTGCAGTAACACTGACGTGGTGGTGGTGTGTTAGTGTGTGTTGTGCTGGTACGAGTGGATCAGACACAGCAGTGCTGCTGGAGTTTTTAAACACCTCAGTGTCGCTGCTGGGCTGAGAACCAAAAACGTCCAGCCAACAGCGTCCTGTGGGCAGCATCCTGTGACCACTGATGAAGGACTAGAGGATGACCAACACAAACTGTGCAGCAGCAGATGAGCTATCGTCTCTGACTTTACATCTACAAGGTGGACTGACAAGGTAGGAGTGTCTAATAGAGTGGACAGTGAGTGGACACAGTGTTTAAAAACTCCAGCAGCACTGCTGTGTCTGATCCACTCGCACCAGCACAACACACACTCACACACCACCACTACGTCAGTGCTGAGAATGATCCACCACCCAAATAGTACCTGCTCTGTGAGGGTCCATGGGGGTCCTGACCACTGAAGAACAGGGTAACAAAGTATCAGAGAAACAGATGGACTACAGTCTGTAACTGTAGAACTACAAAGTGAGACTGTGGTCAGTGCAGCTGATTAAATAGTCAATGAAGTGGTTTTATTGTTATGGCTGATGTGTATGTATGTTTAGATATATTCCTGATAAACATTATAACTGACATCTGTGGTCTCTCTTCAGTCCAGGCATGTCAGCCCACCTTACATGAGCTGCAGACAAGCTTACCTGTGCAGCGTCTCTGTGCTCCGTCTCTCCCCGGGCTGAGGGCTTCTGACCCGCTAGGGCGCTGCTGCTGCTCGCCGTTACTCACCCGGAGCCCATTGTGTCCAACCAGAACCGCAGGGCCCACAGCAAAGTGACCCCATTCCTTACTGGCCAAAAGGCTCTAGATATACAGTATAAACATATATAATCGGACGGTTTTGCCACAAACCGAGAACTAAGTTCGCTGAATGACTGGAAGCTGAAAGTCCGTTTAATTCACTAACGCGCTAACTAGCTAGCGAGCTGCTGAGCTTCAGCTCCAACATTCCCGCCACGAAAAAAAGTTCACTGTGCAGTAAAAGCTCCACACCGAGGGGAGAAAACGGAGCGCTAAAGGGGGAAACAACCTGCTGTTGTCATGTAAGGCATTTCAGTAGCAGCGCTGAGCTGGATAACTGAGTTTCTTGCCTTAGCTTAGCTTAGCTTGGTTAGCTTAGCCACCAAACAGCGGAGCTTTAACTTCACAGCTCAGGCTGCACTGCGCCTGCGCAGCGGAGCAGCGAGGTTGCCAGATCCAGCGATTACAGCACTACAAAACGTAAACGCGTGTAAATAGATAAATAACCACCTTTTTAACTTTTTTTTTTACCTTTCTATAAGAAGCTAAACAGCACCTCGTTTCGTCTTATATGGGAAAACCTTTTGATACACATACACTATGTGGCCAAAAGTATGTGGACACCTGACCATCACACCTATATGAGCTTGTTGGACATCCCGTTCTAAATCCATGGGCGTTAATATGGAGTTGCCTCCCTTTGCGGCTGTAACAGCCCCCACTCTGCTGGGAAGCTTTCCAGTGTGTCTGTGGAAATCTGTGCTGATTCGGTCTGAAGAGCATTTGTGAGGTCAGACACTGATGTTGGACGAGAGGGTCTGGCTCACAATCTCCGTTCTAGTTCATACCAAAGGTGCTCAGTGGGGTTGAGGTCAGGGCTCTGTGAGGGCCACTGGAGTTCCTCCACACCAAACTGGTCACTCCATGTCTTTATGGAGCTGCTTTGTGCTCAGGGACTCAGTCATGCTGGAACAGGAAAGGCTCTTCCCCAAACTGCTGACACAAAGCTGGAAGCAGATAATTGTGTAAAATGTCTTTGTAGCATCAACATCACCCTTCACTGGAACTGAGAGCCCAAACCCTGAAAAACAGCCCAGCCCATCATCCCTCCTCCACCAAACTGTACTGTTGGCTCTGCATTCCGGTAGGTAACGTTCTCCTGACATCCACCAAACCCAGATTCATCATCAGACTGACAGATAGAGAAGCTGATTCATCACTCCAGAGAACACGGTTCCACTGCTCCAGAGTCCAGTGACAGCGCTTTTCATGAAGCTCCTGATGCTCAGTTCTTGTGCTGGTGTTGCTTCCAGAGGCAGTTTGGAACCTTAGTGAGTGATGCATAGCATTAACTCAAATGTATATATGTAGTTCATTTAAAAAACACTTTTTCACATTTAGTAAAAATAATTTATATGATATGCTATGTTAATGACAAACTTTGAATTAATATATTTACGCTTTATTCTTTTATGTAATTTGACTCAATCCACCAACAGTGAAAGCAAATGAACCCTTAAATCAAGTTCCAACAATGCAAAACTTGTTTGTTGGTGTTTTCAAAGATTGTAGACAGCAGTGTGTAAAAACTGGGCCTGGCAACCCAACACTGTCTGCCTTTGAGTCTGGCCGCAGTTGCATGTGTGTGTGTATTACTGGGTTTCCGTTTTACACAGCAGCTGCCGATGGATGTTCCTGGATTCCAAAACCAAACAGTGATCTTTAATGCAGGTAAATATGGATTATTTAATAAAGCAGCAACTGTATGAGTCTCTTCATCATTCATAACAAAAAACACAGGCACAGCTCAGTTCAGACAGGCCTCTGTGAAGGACTACTTCATACTATACTATACTAAACTCCTCCATAGAGCTTAAAGAGCAAAGTTGCTGTTACATACTGATGGGCACTCCTCTCACCACAATGTCCATTAAAAAAGATGAGAATAATACTGAGAAATACACTAATTACTCACTTCAGTCAATGTCCACCTTTATTAGAAACTTCTACCTTGTACTTCCATTCACTGACCACTGTATTAGAAACACCCGCCTTGTACTTCCACTCACTGGCCACTTTATTAGAAACGCCTACCTTGTGCTTCCATTCAATGGCCACTTTATTAGAAACACCCACCTTGTGCTTCCACTCACTGGCCACTTTATTAGAAACACCCACCTTGTGCTTCCACCCACTGGCCACTATATTAGAAACACCTACCTTGTGCTTCCACTCACTGGCCATTTTTTAGAAACACATACTTTGTGCTTCCGGGCCACTTTATTAGAAACACCTATCTTAAGCTTCCACTCACTGGCCACTTTATTAGAAACACATACCTTGTGGTCAAGTATTGGTGACCACAAAAAGAATAAAAAGAAATTTTGCTTCTCTGTGAGAGTAAGTCAGTTTCCTGTAAATAGTGAACTAACCAGTGTGAGGTATTTACCACTAGAGGGCGCAATGCTCCAGTTTCTGCAATATATGCTGTGCAGGTGTTTAGGGAGAAAGAACAGCAGGTTCATAGCACATTTTTCTTTACACTCTTAACACCTTTGATCTGCCAACGTGTCACTCCTTCCGAGCTCTGTTTTCAGTCAGCTAACAGTTTCCGACACAAACCCGACTCTGAGTGAGAGAGAGAAATCAATTCCTCGTCTACTGAGCAGCACTTATGTTATTAAAGCTCAGCTTTACGGATAATCTGGTGAAAAGTCACCGTTACAGTTTTCTCTCTTACACTATTTGAAACACCCAATTTGTGCTTCCACTCACTGGCCACTTTATTAGAAACATCCACCTTGTGCTTCCACTCACTGGCCACTTTATTAGAAACATCCACCTTGTGCTTCCACTCACTGGCCACTTTATTAGAAACATCCACCTTGTGCTTCCACTCACTGGCCACTTTATTAGAAACATCCACCTTGTGCTTCCACTCACTGGCCACTTTATTAGAAACATCCACCTTGTGCTTCCACTCACTGGCCACTTTATTAGAAACACCCACCTTGTGCTTCCACTCACTGGCCACTTTATTAGAAACACCCACCTTGTGTTTTCTCTCACTGGTCACTTTATTAGAAACATCCACCTTGTGCTTCCACTCACTGGCCACTTTATTAGAAACACCTACCTTGTGCCTCCACTCACTGGTCACTTTATTAGAAACACCCACCTTGTGCTTCCACTCACTGGCCACTTTATTAGAAACACCCACCTTGTGCTTTCACTCACTGGCCACTTTATTAGAAACACCCACCTTGTGTTTTCTCTCACTGGTCACTTTATTAGAAACATCCACCTTGTGCTTCCACTCACTGGCCACTTTATTAGAAACACCCACCTTGTGCTTCCACTCACTGGCCACTTTATTAGAAACACCCACCTTGTGTTTTCTCTCACTGGTCACTTTATTAGAAACATCCACGTTGTGCTTCCACTCACTGGCCACTTTATTAGAAACACCTACCTTGTGCCTCCACTCACTGGTCACTTTATTAGAAACACCCACCTTGTGCTTCCACTCACTGGCCACTTTATTAGAAACACCCACCTTGTGCTTTCACTCACTGGCCACTTTATTAGAAACACCCACCTTGTGCTTCCACTCACTGGCCACTTTATTAGAAACACCCACCTTGTGCTTTCACTCCATGGCCACTTTATTAGAAACACCTACCTTGTGCTTCCACTCACTGGCCACTTTATTAGAAACACCTACCTTGTGCTTCCACTCACTGGCCACTTTATTAGAAACACCTACCTTGTGCTTCCACTCACTGGCCACTTTATTAGAAACACCCACCTTGTGCTTTCACTCCATGGCCACTTTATTAGAAACACCTACCTTGTGCCTCCACTCACTGGTCACTTTATTAGAAACACCTACCTTGTGCTTCCACTCACTGGCCACTTTATTAGAAACACCTACCTTGTGCTTCCACTCACTGGCCACTTTATTAGAAACACCCACCTTGTGCTTTCACTCCATGGCCACTTTATTAGAAACACCTACCTTGTGCTTCCACTCACTGGCCACTTTATTAGAAACACCTACCTTGTGCTTCCACTCACTGGCCACTTTATTAGAAACACCTACCTTGTGCTTCCACTCACTGGCCACTTTATTAGAAACACCCACCTTGTGCTTTCACTCCATGGCCACTTTATTAGAAACACCTACCTTGTGCTTCCACTCACTGGTCACTTTATTAGAAACACCCACCTTGTGCTTCCACTCACTGGCCACTTTATTAGAAACACCCACCTTGTGCTTTCACTCACTGGCCACTTTATTAGAAACACCCACCTTGTGCTTCCACTCACTGGCCACTTTATTAGAAACACCCACCTTGTGCTTCCACTCACTGGCCACTTTATTAGAAATACCCACCTTGTGCTTTCACTCCATGGCCACTTTATTAGAAACACCTACCTTGTGCTTCCACTCACTGGCCACTTTATTAGAAACACCTACCTTGTGCTTCCACTCACTGGCCACTTTATTAGAAACACCTACCTTGTGCTTCCACTCACTGGCCACTTTGTGCATGGCTGATTTTATGAAGAGTATTAACATGAAAATGGTTCTATTTAGCATCAAAAAGCGTTCCGCTATTGTTGTAATGTCAAGCTTGTACAACAGACAAACGCTTTTTCGGGCTATAGAGAACCATGAACCCTAAAAAGTTTCTACATACACTCTTAAAAATGATGGCTTTTCAAGGATTCTTTATTAAAGAAAATGGTTCTACATAGAACCATGAACACTCAAAGAACCATCTGTGTGCTTAAATGGTTCACTGCATGGTGAAATGGTTCTTCAGATCGATGGAGAATGTGCTGGAAATGGTTCCATATAGCATCAAAAAAGGTTCTGCTATTGTTACAAGCTTGACATCATAACCTTTTCAAAAAGATACAACATACAACACATTCTCCATCATTCTGAGCAATTTAAGCATGGAGTGGTTCTGTAAAGAAAAAAAGGCTCTTGCCTTTACTAAAGAACCCTTGAAGAACCATCTTTTTAAAGAGTGAATCAATCTAAAGCTGATTTTATACACAAATTGTACAGATTTTACGGAGTTGTGTGAGTGGAATTTAGTGAATTTGTCATGTTTTGTATCAGCGAATGTTTATAAACACGTTGTTTTCAGCTACAAGTTGTTTTTAGTAAGATATGTGACTAGGCTAGCAATGTTAGCTGAGGTAAAAGATGATTAGCATTTGTCTGTTTATCTTAAAGACTTTTGATTTACTGCCCTTTCAGTGTAAACATCACATAAGTTCTATGAATTTTTCCAGGGTTTAATAGTATAAAGTACCCTAACAGCATCTTTACCAATTAGTCTATGGCATCAAATCCAATTCCAAATTCGCAAACCAGGGTAAAACTACTCTCGCATGCAAGGAAAAAA